CAGTCGAAGTTTTGTCGAACATGGCGTTAAATGTTCGTAAAATTCAGGAACCCGAACCTCGGCAGGTTCGCGGCATCCAAAGCGATGAAGGGCAATAGAACCTGACGTCACAGGACGGTGTCATGTAACAAAAGGCTCGCTGCGACTAAAATGCGACTAATCTCGGGAACCAACCGTGCAACTGAGTAACCCGAGTCAACTTACACGGGACTCGAAAACCCCGGTGCGAAACAATTCGCATGACCTGCAACGCACTATCGCGGACAATGCGAGCTGACACGGCTGACACTACACATAAATGCCAAGTTGGGATCCGATATCACTACGACGGATAATCGCATTACGACTAAGTGGGCAACAAGACGTATGATCGCATCGCGACTGAGCGGGGAATACGACGAGTAATCTCATTACGACCGAATGACTCGGTACGACTAATTAACGAATTAGGAAATACTAGAGCTTGCCGAGACCGGAGGCTAAGAAAAAAATTGCCGGATCCGGTGTTTCAGTTTTGCTAAACAGTCTGTGTGACGCTTCCTACTTCGTGATTCCTTATTGGACGTTCTTATCACCTAACGACGCAATTTCAGTGGCAGCGGAGCGACGAGATGCTCCGAACCAGCCACGCCCTGCGCTGCTCTAGCCGTGATGCGTTCACGCATGCTAAAGTCGCTTCCAGTCGGCGAACAGCATTTGTCGGCCAAACCCGCCGTCACACCGCACCAACATCCACCGAAATACTTTAAACCACTATATACATACAGTAGAAAAACTGCCGCAGATTTCTCACGTCAAATGCAGCGTGTGGGCAGAGCGCACGCACAGCCGTTTGGCAAACTTAAAAAAAAAAAAAAAAGAGCGATTACGGCAGGGAATTTGTAAACGTCGGAATGGTGTCTCCTTCCCAACGCTTATGCCGCAAGAGAGTCAATGGCCCAACAGCGCTAGCGCTTAGCACGAGCGTCTGATGTAAGGCACGCCTGTAGACCGCACGTAAACGCGCGGTGGGCGGGCATAAAATTAAGAATTTCCATGCGTAGCTGGTGTGCATGGTTGCCTGCTGGTGGTTACTCCTACTTATTGCCTCGTTCGAAAGAAGTTTGAGAAACATGGAAAACTAAATTACTACAGTACTTATTACGTACAGAATGACAACAATAAAAAAATACTCCCCCCCCCCAAACAAAAAAATAAATAAATAAAACTGAACACACTGAATTGTAGTCGTCCAAATTTGAAAATAAAGCTTCGGCGATTTCTTCAGCTACCCCAACTAACTATATTTTCCGAATCCCCAATGTTTACCCCTTCCGGTGTGCCATTTAATATCGCGAAATTCATAATAGTTATTGTGAAATCGGCAAATGAGATGATGTAAAAACCAGCATTCAAAAATACCCGCACTTTTTAGTGCCGTGACGTCAGTGGCGGGCAGGCTTGCCGGTCGAGCAAGCAGTCTGAAAATAGACTATGCCAAGCATTTCCTCCGTGCTGGTAAAGTGAACTAAAGGAGTACTGGTGCGCGGGTACTAGAGCGAGCTTCCAAAGCAGCCATTTGATGCCATGAAACCGCTTGGAATCAGTTGGGAACAAATTTTACAGTCCAAGAAGTCAACTCCCGCCTTCCAATGGCGTCAGTTTTTCGTTGTTGCCAGTAGAGATTTTCAATTTGAAAAACACGGTGAGGACAAAAATTGTAAATTAGATAACTTCGCAATAAAATGTTATTTTGACGTAATATTTGGGATTCTATTTCAGCGATGTTCGTTGGTGCGTTTAGCAAATTTTCAGGCAAATCGGAGACCTTGAAGATATCGCAGGAGTAACACGGCTAGGAAAACGTCTCTTTGTAACTCAATACAAATATATATATATATTTCTTTTTAATACGATATGACAAGCAGTTCACGTTCATTGACACATTATTCTGAAAATTAGACTTTGGGTAATCTTACTGAGAGTCTTCTTTCCCCGTAAAGTTAGAGCCACTACCGGCTTATTCGCTGGAGCGTAAAAATATGAAAATCCACCCGATGCCTGAAGTTGAGCCACGTCCACCCCAGCCAAACCCACCGATTTCACCAACATTTTTTTTGTTCTTGATGCAATACTTCGCCGTTTCTATTTTAGACAACTGTTCCTTTAAGTGGCTTATATTAATCATTGCTTCGTATGTGCGTATATGTACTACTTTTATCTTGTACATTCTGTATATTATTCAGCTCGCCTGAAACTATGTGTATCTCTCCTCTCTTTTTTTTTTTTTTTGTTGCTCTTTAGGTGTGCGGCCTGCGACAAAATAAATCAACAATTGTACTATTTAAAATTTTGCCTCAAAACAGATTCAGACGTCTAAAAAAAAGTAACTATCAATTAAAAAAAAAACAAAAAAAAAACTGCAAGCTTGTTGAAGAAGATACGTAAACCATCGGCAAATAAAAGAAACTTCCTAAAAGTCGATATTCTTGCCATCGTGTATTATTCAGAAATAAATGCATACACCCCAGAATCTGAACAGAATAACGATCCAGAAAACATATAATACAAAAACTACTCACTCACACAATGCAAAAAAAAAACGAAAAAAACTGGGACAATTTTTTTATTTTATTTTGCCTGAAGTTTGACTCAATACTCCAAACTAAACGTAATGAAACTGGTAAAAAATTAAGAACCGTCGACAATAAATCCAGAAAGTACGCCATCAGGAATCAAAATCGCACGATTCCAAAAAACCGGTAGTTTCGCGCAGAAGGTCAAGTTGTAGCGTACGTACGCCAGGAAATCTTGTCTCGCTTTATTGGAAACGTATTAGTGTGTGAGTTCTGTCTTATCGGTGGGTCGGAGACTGTCATAAGCGGCCGAAGCAGATCTAAAATTGGGACAACGCATTAACCGAGCATTGACCCTTTGCTTCCCACACTACCCTCTTTTCCTTATTTTAATTGCGCCGAGTAATAACAGTCATTATAGATGCCAGGTTTCCATGATGCTGTGAAATGAAAGAAGAGTAATTGTTGCAGTAGAAGCGTTAAAAGTAAACTACAGGTAGCAGCGATGGTTACTCGAAGAGCTAGCAATTAGTTTGGTCAATAGAGAGTGGAAGAATTGGCTGCTACTTGTTATAGCCTCAAAGTTGACAACGGGTTTATTGCAGAGTCTGACACTAACGTCGAATGTACAGAAGATACGTGGCCCGAGGATCGCACATTGGATGGAAAATGTTCACTTGGGACACGATGTGTTGCTTGGAAGCTTCTGAATAATGAACGTACAGATGTATGGTCCTTTTTGAACGGGACCGAATAGCTTAACTGACTTGTAAAGTGTGTTGTAGCAGACGGCAATAATTGCAGACAACGTTATGTAGCCAACGATGTCGGTAGCAGACGACATTATTAGCAGACGACGCTAGTAGCACACTAATAAATTAAAGGAATCGGTTGTGCAAAGACAACTCGAATCAAAGAAAAAAAAATTATATATATTTTTATTCCGTCCCATCCACCTGCTTCAAGAGCATTCCGACCCATCCACCTGCTACAATCAGGTTTATCGTTCACACCTCCCGGGATTCAGGTATTCACCTCTGATAAGTATGATCTTAGTAGCTCGAGCGAAAAGGTCCAGAACAAAGATTGTGACTTTCAAAAGCACCCTAATATCACAAGCCCGGCAGAGAGCAGCGCTCGCGGCGCAACGCCGCAACCTTCACTTTTTCATCGCCGAAACCCATTGTGTCACGTTAGAGACGCGTGCCGCACCAGTACTGTCGTACCTCTACATGTAGTAAAGCTAACCCTGGTGTGACCGCCGGCGCCGTCTGCTTCGCTAACCACGCCCGCTAGTTTTATCTAGCCACGTGTAACGTGCGAAAAAAAGAAAATCTATATGCAAATGCTAGAGCTGGAAGTAGAGGTCACGGCAAGCCTGGATACGTTTTAAACCTGTGCGAGAAAAAATAAATGAATAGCTGACGAACTTGGACAGAAACGACGAGCATCGTCTGACTAAATAAAGACAGACAGACAGCGGGTGAATGCACCGACCTTTCGGCGTCGCCAATTCGCATAAAAAAAAAACAAACAAAAAACGCTTTTTGACACTTTTTAGATATTTGTTTGTTTCGTGTGCTCTTTTTCTCCACAGTTCGCTTCACACGAAAGGACGCCGCGGTCGAACTCGGATATACGCAAAACTGAGCTTCAATGACGGCGCGGAAGCTACAAATAATGCTTCCTAAATTAAATTTTTTTAAATATGAGTGCGGTTGAGTCTGAACTTGCGAAAAGCAAAGCGAGGTGCTGCAGCATCTGTGCGATCGCGACTAGCGCGAGCTTCTTTTTGGGGGCATTTTCGTTGACTTTTCGCGGAAATCCGATCCAGAATCGACGGCTAAAAGAGAACGCGACAGGCATTTCGTAACCCTGTCGACCTAGAGAGCGTGGAAAGCGAGCTTGATCACTGGGCGTCGGTTTCTTTTCGCGTGCTCTCGCCGCCGCTTCTGCAACGCCGACGCTCGTGTCTTTGAACGCGCAGAAAGAAATCGGAAAGCTTTCAGCCGTGGGGGTTATTAGTACTTGACCTCCCGAGTTCGCACACACGCACAAACACAACACGAGCACGCGCTCACACACAGACATACGAAGCGTTCTGAAACGCGAACCCACTGGGACCGGTCTCCGCGAGCCGGCTTGCTCGCCTCGTGCGGGGGCCAAAGTCTAACCCTTTTTGTCCGACGCTCCGCGTTTTGATATCGTTCGGATCGTCGGCAAATTCTCGCAAACGGAACTCCAAACGCCGGCACAGCGGAACAACTTTCGAGTCAAAAAAAAAAGGTGAGGGGGGAGGGGAGAAGCTCTTGAAGTGATCCGCCATGTTTTACGGATGACCAAGATGAGAGCGATCCGTCCCCGAGGACTTTTTTTTTCGGGCGCTCGCGGCGTCGCGATAAATAAACCGGCGCGCCGAAAAATTGCGTGGAGGACGGGGCTTACCGGTGAGATCAGCTCAGGATTATCCCAGTGCAGTGCACGGTGCTGAGAAAACACACATCAAGCGTAGAAGTCGGGCCACTCCCGAACTCAATGATGTGTTTCCGTGGGCCGATGCCAGGAAGCGAGCGGACACGGCGCGGAAGGATATTGCAGAGCCCCACCCAGCAAGCAGCTCTCACACCGGTAGGAAGACGTATCAAAATGGAGACTTCATACGGTATTCTGTTTTAGGAAACCGTCGGATTCGGACGCAGATCTTTGTTGGTGTTTAGTTTGAGGGTGTGAAGTGCGCGATGGCGTTTTGCATGCGCGCGTGCTAAATGTAAATGAGAAGAACTATTTTGTAATGCGGACGTCGTCGCCCCCGTGTGGTGACGCGGTGGACGCCGTGGCACATGCAGCGCCGTCTAGGTGTTTCGTCGTTTCGTCTGCTCTGGACTTGGAGATGGCCTGGAGATTTTCTGCGTTGGCGGCCTCCGCAAACCTCTGCCTCTATGACAAACCGTTTATAGATCTGAGATTAAAGTTAAATAACTTGGCATTAATCTACACAAAAAAGCGAGTTCTAGCAGTAGCTTTTATGTTACATGCATGCACATTTTATCTGGGTTAAAGCAATCTGTTAAAGTACCCACGATTGTGTTTAAGTCCGGATGCACCCGACGCGAGGTCGAAAGCTGCCTTTTGCTTTACGGGTATACTTGTGGAGGATGAAACAGCGTTATTTCGCTATTTTATCTTCATATCTGCTCTGCGCGGATGTTTTTGTTTATTGAGAAATATTGACGAATGGACTTGCGTGTACAGTGTTTGATAAGAATGGAGGATTTCCCTGAACAGTTTAATTGTGTCTCGATTATTATCGTACTGCAGTGACCTACATGGAGTAAGTTGTGGTGAATTAGTAGAATCGTTTTGTGTCGTTTACAAATGTAGTCGATACCACAGAAATATTTGTTCTGTACTTTCAAACTTGCACATCTGGTGGTAAGACCTGAGATTAGAGTGAAAAAGAAAAATACAGTGGAAGAGACAGTACAAAAAGGGTTAGACAACGTCTGTCCAGCTCGCCTACACCATACCTGGTCTGCACTTAGAAGTTTGGACACTGTCTTTGTGCATGTCTGGTTAATACTGGGTGCAGGATAATTTAGTAATGCATAAGGCTCTTGAGCTTACAAATCTACCGTCCTCTCCAGGTATTAGAAAAATATGGTAAGCTCGAATAGTATTTCTGCTGACTAGGGTTCTCCAGCTAGGGTCTCAAGACGCCTCACTCCCAGAAAAAATGTGTATATTGCCCATTTTTCGGCATAGTATGGGGTCTTATCAACTGGGATGCTCGAGAACATGAAATAAAACTGAAAGTCTTAAAAATTCTACTTTCTCGAGACTTCAAAGAAGTGCCACGCTCCTCAGCTTTCACCGCCTTCACGTCTACTCCACGCGACGAGACGGAAAAAGACTCAAAGAGACTCGAAAATGGGCAACGCTGAACAGCGTCTTCCCACTAAATCACTGCAATCCAACCCGATCCAATCCAAATGCGCGGAGTGGTTTCGTGTCCTGATGGCGGTCTGCTCCTCCGGTTCCCGCTAGCAGACAACCGCTACGATCGTCCAAAATTCCCGCTTTCTAAGCCGCCTAACCCGACCCCGAATACTCGCTAACTTCTAAGGCATGCTCGGACAACCCTAAAATCCATCGGCTACGGCCCTGAAACGTATCTGCTAGGCCTACCGGACTGGGTCGTATGTTTCCATCGCGACTTCTACCGTCGTCGATGACCGACACGGTACCGAGCGTACCGACCGTTGTACATCTCCGGTAAGCTGCCCGAGCGCCGCATACTATATTTATGTCTCATGCGGAGCAGCAGTACAGCCTAGCCACCCCGTTGTGGACGCGGTGTCAGCGTTGCCCGGGAAAAACGGCTTTCAAGACACCCGACGAGTTTGCGCGTCATCTGCGCGACACCCACTGCAGCAAGGAAGGCGGTTCGTTCGTTTGCCGTTACGGCAACAACGATGTTTGCGCTTCGTTGCCCCTCGAAGGAGTCAGCGACGAAGACTACGAAGCTCACGTGCTCAAGCATCATGTGCTGTCGCAGAAAGAAGGTGAGGCTCAGTTTGGCTCCTCATACGATTCGACTACAGGCCAGTTAACTAATTGTTCCCCTCTTTGAAAGCTTACTGTGAGCGCTGTGGAGGCCAGGTGGATATAGGTGACAACGCAGCTGAGGATGCATCAGTGGTACTGCTTATAGCACCAACCACATGGCAACACTGCAAATGAATGAAAAGACAGTCATCAGATGCTCATATGCCATGTTACAGTGCACACAAGGGAAACAGTTAGCAGAATTCTTTAGCAAAGGAGTAGCAAATGGCAGCACATAAAATTATTGCCCCACAAATAGAGCATTAAGCTTTTTTTTTTTTTTTTTTTTTTCCCCTAGAGGAAAGGAAATTTTGACTCGTCATGGCACACTTGTAAAATGTCTGTCAGTCTGACATGCGTGCTTACATGGCTTGCACTGATGTCACAGCAGCGGCTATTGTGAGGGATCTTGCTACTGCATGCATACCTTCTGCTGTACATATGTTTCACACGACCGAATCCAAATTTTTTTTTTTTTTTTTTTTTTGAGGGGGGGCAAGAATTGGTAGAAATGATCATTGGTTTAATACGGCGACATCAGATGCAAGCCACGTGTCTGAGTCACTGTTGCCAGATCCCTAGAACCAATAGGTGCAAGTGCTTTGTTGAACAGCTTCACATGCTGTAACATCTAAATGAGGAACAAACATTCACAGCACATACATATAGAGACATTTAAAACAAACTGACTACACATCTGCACAAACATAGACATGTTAAAATGTCCAAGACGGGGAAAGCTGTGGAATATAACTGGAATTCTATTAATGGCATGATGGACATGAAGACCGTTTGCGTGTCTGACCTTTCACTGTGCTAGCCTAGCAGGTGGGGATGATTGAGGGCATGATGTCGCAAGTTTGCATCTTTAGTTCCTACATGTCTTGTTCCCTTTTTTTTTTGGGGGGGGGGGGGGGGGGGGGGGGGAAGGGAAATTGTTGATTGAACATATTAGAACGTCTTCCTAATAATATTAGTCTTCTTAAATTGCTTTCATTTAATTTTGGCACTTTCTCAATTTGCTATTGCAGTATAAATATACCTATAGGTAAAAACTTTCAGCCTTTCCACTCTGGTGAAGAAGGAAGACCAGCGGAGCTGTACAATGGAAAGTAATGGCCGGCCGCAAGTCGGCAAGCCAGAGTGGAAAGGCTATTGCCATCTATGAGTGACGGCGGCAACCAGATACCTGGCTTGCTGCCATCGCTCATAGATGGCGGTAAGTGTCTAGAGTTCGGTGTCTTCATTTCTTTGCGGGAGACACGATTCTGGGGAAACTAGCCCTTAACCCTTTGCGGTCACGTGTCGGGCGTGGCCCGACATTGGAGAAACGAGTTTCCGGTCAATTGTCGAACGTCGCCCGACACGCGACTCCCGCTCTCGTTTAAACTTATTCCTCCGTTCTTTTTGACTGGATTGGTGGCGCCATCTCTCAGCATGTTTCTTTAACACTTCATTGTTTCAATAGTTTGAGTTTTTTTCCATAGAGGGCAGAAGCACTCGTAAGCGGCGAAGGCGCGGGTCGCTTTGAATTTCGGTGGCTGGAAAAAGCATGGCAGCATTTGCGCCACGCTCCTTGTATGGGAACTTATCGCATGATTTCGTGGAAAGTGATGACGATTTTAGCGAAGAGGGTAATTATGTGCCTCCATCAGACGACGATGAAACATCCTCCGCTGACTGCAGTGACAGTAGCGACGAAGAAGTGTGTGTACAAGACGACAACAACAGTTGACCCTCTTCTCCACGTGCGCCGGCATTGTCCTTGTGGACTGCCTACACAGACAATCTCCCAGACTTCCCTGATGTGGCGTTCACCGTTAGCGACCCTAGACCACAGGTTGGATCGTCAAACCTTGGCTCCAAACTTGAGTTTTACCAGTTATTTTTTACGGATGAACTCATTGGAGAAATCGTGCAAGAAACAAACCGCCATGCCCACGAGAAAATTTCATCCATGGATTCGCTCGCTGAGCAATCTATATGGAAAAGTTGGGAAGACGTTTCTGTAGAAAAATTCAAGGCTTTTCTCGGTGTCCTCATGAACATGGCCCTCATTCCCAAGCCGGACATCAAGGAGTATTTCAGCCAAGAAATCTTGAAGAAGATGGCATTTTTTCCCGCCGTGTTCACTCGTACAAGATTTCTCCAGATATTTTGGATGCTGCACGTCTCTCCACCTTTGCAAGGTCCCTCACACCTGCCGACACGAGGTAGCAAGGTGAGAAACATCGTAAAGTACATTGACACAAAATGCCGTGAGCATTTCAAGCCCGGCCCGAAGATTTGTGTCGATGAGAGTACAGTTGGCTTCAAGGGCAGGGTCTCATTCAAATGCTACAACCCGCAGAAACCAACGAAGTGGGGCCTCCGTGTCTATGTACTCGCCGACTGTAGAACAGGCTACGTGTCAGCATTCGAGCCGTACTACGGTAGCACAACAACAGAGAGCCTCTGCCGGCCAGACCTTCCCTTCACGTGTCGGATTGTCCTGCACCTCCTCAACAAAGTGCAATGCGCTTCACTCGGAAGTGGGTACCACCTTTACACGGACAGGTTTGATACGTCCCCGCAACTTGCTGAGGAGTTGCTCTTTCAGGACGTTTTGCTCACTGGCACTGTCATGACCAACAGGAAGCATATGCCCAGCAGCTAATGAAGAAGATGAAGAAGGGTGACGTGGCAGCGTATCGGAAAGGTGACTTGTAAAAGGGCCCTGGCTTGGCAAGATAAGCGTCAAGTTACCATGCTGAGCTCAGCACACAATCCCTCGACGAAGCCTGTGACAAAAACACAAGCACACGGCCAGGCTGTGACACTGGACAAGCCAGTAGTCATTTGTGACTATACAGAGAACATGGGAGCTGTTGATCGAGCCGACCACTACTGCGCGAGCTACGCGTTCTGCCGCAAGTCCCTCAAGTGGTGGAGAAAGCTTTTCTTCTGGATCCTTGAGGTTGCCATCGTCAATAGTTTCCTGCTAATGCAGATGCAACAGGCTGCTCAGGGACTGAAGGGGCAAAGGCACCTCAAGTACCGCCGTAAGCTGATCGAACAGCTGGTCGGGGACTTGCGAGTGCGACCAAAGAAAAGAGGACGAGCATCACAATCCGACACTGAGGAGAGATTAGATGGAGGGCAGCACTTCATATACAAGCTACAAGAACGTACCAGCAAAGACTGTGCAGTGTGCAGCGATCAAAAGACAAAAGGAGGCAGGAGAGAAACAGTTTTCTGCTGCAAGACTTGCACAAAGAACCCCATTCTCCACCCTGGAGATTGCTTCGAAAAATATCACACGCTGTCAAAGTATCGCTAGAGAGCGCGGGAATGCAGAAGCACTGCAAAAATAAATATTTCTTGTTACCTCTGTATGCTGCAGTAATTTTTCTTTCTCCTTGCTAATGCGCACAAAATAATATCTGACCGGAACCACCGTCAAGTTGGTCAGACTATCTGACCTCAAAGGGTTAACTGCTCCGCTGTAAAAAAAGTTGAATATATAATGTCTTGCCAAGATTTCTACAAGACATCTTCCAGATCTCCCATAGATGTCAAATGTCCTCCAAGGCGTCTTGTAGATGTCTACAATACATTTTCGAGGACTCCTTGTAGCCCGAAGATAGGGACTTATTGGTTGAACTAGAAGATGGTTACAAGATGCTTCTATGGCTACATCACGTCTTGTCACGATTTCTTACAAGACATCTTGCAGATCCTTTAGAGATGTCATAGACATCTAAATAACATCTCCTAAAACGTCTACAATATATTTTCAAAGATATGCCCTGTAGCCCAAGAAGAGGGATGTAGAACTAGAAGATGGTTACAAGATGCTTCTAGAAAATCTGTCTTTATAACGTCTTTCCAAGGTTTGTATGAGACGTCTTATAGAAGTCTAATGGTCGTCTCGGCGTTTGGCAAGTCTCCAACCTTGTTTTGTTGCAGCGGAACGGTCAGACCGTCGTTACGGACACCCCAAGGACGACTCGGACAGCGGCCGGAGCAACGGAGAGGGTGCCCGTCGGGCCACCAATCCCGCCTTTCCAGATGCGGTGGCAGAGCCACGCGAGCGCTGGACCATCTACCACTCGGCGCAGAACCTGCCGGCCGTGCTGAACGACCCCCGCCGCTCCCGCAGGGAGTCAGACTTCTTCATCAAGACCTGGGGGGATCACTTCACGGACACGACGCCGCTGCCCCCTTGCCTCCATGTCCCGACCATCTCGAGGCTACACTTCGAGTCGTACCTGGCACGCACATCGCGGGTAAGCCTTGTCTGCTCTCTCGGATCGTTGCAATCCGCTTGAGATTAAATTGGCGGCCAACTTCGGCCAAGCCTCATAGCCATGCTGGCAACACTGGGCTTCATTGCTGTGACAGTGCCGCGGCTCGTCTTACTTTATACCAGGGAGGTACGGAAGCTTCTGGAGGCAACACAAGTCAGCTCTCCTTTTCATCCAATCATCCAATCTTTTCATCTCTTAGTTTTTGGTCGTCGTGGGAGTGTGTCCCTCTACATTTCTGGCCTGGCGGCATTGTGTCGCCTCCAGAAGCTTCCTACTTCCACGCTTTATAACGTATGGTTACGCCCCGTTAATAGGGACGCCTCTTTGTGGGAGGGACTTGTCATGCTAGTCTACGCCTGCTGCGGGCAGAAATGTTGTTCAAACATACTCTGCCATAATACGTGGCCGACGTTCGAACGGTGACGGGGGTGCACGTCCGGTGGGCCCCTTAATCTCTTTTACATTTAGTATTGGTCCCTCGTCCTGTTGCTCTTCTATTTCCGTGGACTCAATGCAAGGATCCCTTTCCCACAAGCCCGACCGAAGGATAGCGTCTTTGTTCTCTCCGGATCGCTTTCAGAGGTACCGCAGGCACCTTCGTCGCGCTTCTTCAGCCACATCTGCAACTTCTGACGGGAGGAGCGGAACCTTGGTGAGGAGCACTTCGTTCAGAGGTATGTCACAAAGTACACTGCTGAATCTGAGCACAAGTGCTGCCACCAGACCCTGTGGCCGCACTTGTGGCAGCACTTGTGGCAATTTTGCATGGGCAATTTTGCATTTACGAGTACTAGCAATGGCTTCATGGCGGGCAACATGGGCCCCGCATTGTCAGTGACATGGTGCGCCCATGCGGCACAGTCGCAGCACTGGCCATGCAAACAGGTGCTGTGCAAGTGCTGTCTGCATCTCAGCAGACTCTGCATTCAGGGGCGTCTGCTGCACACCACTGTGGCCTGCGCGTGCACAGGACGTTCAGCTGACGAGCTTCAGCTGTGTTGCTGAACGACAGTTCAAGTGCACAGCCGAAGTTTGTTAGCAGAATGTTATCGGGACGATGGAGACGTATGCTATGTGACTAACGGGATTAACTTATCGCGAATGGCTGGTTTGGCATGTTCACAATGTCATGATGCTTATGTCGAAGTGGGCTGTGCCCCAGGTCCAGCCAAATGTAGCGGATTTCACTGACCCTATTCATCTTAATAACACTGTTGAATATTTGACTTGTATACTTCTCAGGAAACACCAACAAGAGTTGCGTGCACTGTTTTCTCAGTAACAAAACTCGAGCAGCGCTGCCCCTTAAAAGTTGAACCATGCTTCAGGCCTTCCCCTTTTCACTTGCTTCCTCCTCCCCCATTCCACCTCCCTCCTCCTATCCTCCTCCACCCAAATTTTAATCCTCTGCCCTGCTGAAAACTAGCACTGTTTAGGCTTTGAAGCCCAGTTATTTGTTGTTTAAATTGTGAGGCAACAAACTAGCTGCTAGCACTAAACTATAATTAAATGTTTTGTTACCCTTTGTTGGTTTGCTTGAAAGGAAAACCATCAGTTGTTTTCACTGGACGGAAATATAAATAAATGAACCATGTTTCACTCAGTTGTGTTGCTTTCTTGTTTTTTCTTTTTTTGACCTGATATTCTGAATTGATTGTGTCTCACGACTATTGACAAAGGCTTTTATTTTTTTTCTATAGATGGCACACCTGAAAGCATTGACATTGTTCCCATGGTAAGTGCCTTCTGTTGCTTCTAGATATTGCAAGCATTAACTCCTGGGTTTCACCGAGTTTTCTCACTATTTACTGTAAACGACTTGAATGTTGCGAGGACCTAATTTTTGAGAATTTTGTGAATCGTCTACAGTTTGCAAAAAATGTGTCCCGTGAACAATTCAGGTAAAATGTAAACACATTGGAATGTATATTGAGATCCCACCGCGTCGCACAAATTAGAACCTGCGAATTATTCTAAAACTTCAGCTTTGACCTAAATCGCGAAATATTGACACGCGAAAAATAAGTCGTTTACAGTATTACAAAAACACTAAACCTAGTAAAAAAAAAATTTTTTTTCATCTGGTTAGGGCAAATAGCATGTCTCAAAATAAATGTTTGTAAAAAAATGTTTTTATTTTGCACAATATTTATGTTACAATACAAATTTTTCGGTTTGCAGGCGAAACCGAAATTGTACTTTTGTGGGATGATGATGATAGCATTTGTACCCAACTGGTGTGCGCTCTGAATCTGCTGGACCTCATAGCACACACTATAGTCAGATACAACATAAGAAAGACGGTGCAAGAGGGAAAAGGGTGCGCACGAGAAAAGCCATTGTGGAAAGGATGTCGCTCCTTTCCACTTCAGCTTCCCTAGTTTCCGCCCTTTTCCCCCTCGCACCGTGTACTTATGTTGTATCTGACTATAGTTGGCTATAAACACTATCATCATCATCATCCCACAGGGGTGCAATTTTGGTTTCGCCTGCAAATCGAAATATTTATAATGTAACTAAAATATTGGGCAAAAGAACATGTTTTTTCAGCAACCATTTATTTTGAGATTTTTCTGTCCTAAACAGGTAGAAAAAACTTTATTTTCTTAGGTTCAGGCTTTTTCAAGCATTTTTTTCATAATAGTTCGAAAATAAAGGCAATTAGTTTGTCATTACCATGGCGTATTACTGCATGTCTCACCTCATACTCAAAGAAACAATAACTAGGAGATATTTTAACGCACAAACAGACTGGCATGCAATAGGAGCGTTGTCGCGTTGCTTTGTCGCAACAGCACAAAAAAGATTATCTCGGAAAGCATTTGTAGCAAATTGCTGGGCACTTGTGTTGCACGGGAAACGCGTGGTTTCAGTATGAATCTTTTGGGATTGACGTCTACGCTCTCGGCGCTCTTTATCGAGTAGTTTGGCGACTGGCTTAACACGTGGCTTATACACTCGATGGCAGTTCTAGGAATGGAGATGCCAGTGGTGCTTTTCCAGAACCCTCCATAGCCGCAAACCCCGGTGCTATTCCAGAGCCCACCATAGCTGCAGATCTTTCTCCAATGACATCCAACTGCCGTCTGACAGGCAAGCGGTGGCGTGTGAGTTTGCACAATCACCAGCGAATCATCGTCGAGTGAGCATGGCCTCGTGCGTGACGTCACACCTAACTCAGCCAATCAGCATTGAGCTACTCGGCAACTTCACTTTTTGGCTTCACAAATGTCTAGATCCCCCCCTTGACGAGACAAAGCACGTTTCACGTGAAAGCTCCCAGATACTGCTGGTGGCACATTGGTGACAGTGATTAACCATCATTGTTCGCATGTCATTGCCAACTTAGTTTGGTCTCTTTGTGTTTGTAAACAAACACAAATTCGAACGGTTGCTGTCTTTTTTCAAACAGATGTTCTTGAAACCAGACTTCAGCCTGGAAGATCCAGAAACGTTCCACACCGTGATCCCGTGGTCCGTCATTCAGCCGTCAGCCCGGAAATCTAAAGAAACTCTTGCCCCTAAGCAAACTTCTAGGCTACTCCAGGAAAAGGTGGGTCAAAGTTGGCACAATGTCGGCCAAATGCCGGCTCAATATCGGTCAGCATTCTAGGCCTCTCTAAGTAAAGATTGGTTAAAGTCCAGTCAAATGTCGGCATAACACCGGCCAGATGTCGGCTGAACATCAGTCAGCAATACCGTAATCCTGCCTTTCTCGGAACGAAGTTAACAGCAGACAGATCTAGACCTGCAGAGCGCTTGTATATCCAGCATGGGATTTAAACAAATTGATCTTGCTGCTGCGAGCTACATTGCGGTATTGAAAGTTGTGAGGAGGAAACCTCAACAGTGAGAGGAAAGAGGTCGCTAGGTCGTCACTAAATTCTGTATTAAATACAGCGCACTGATCCAGTGCTGCACCGCATGTAAGATCCGGCCTTTAGCGCAGGCCAAGCTCCATTGCACTTCATGGTTTGCACAACCTTTGATGACGGCCTCACAGAATGACCTTTTTTAATTCTGTTCAGAGGGTTGTATCGGGAGACAAAAGCATGAAACGCTTTTTGAAGGAGGCCCCCAATCCCAAACTTTTGTCCGTCCATCGGTCTATGCATCCGTGCATTTCCCACTAAATTTAGCGTGCAAATCAATGTCACATGACCTATACACTAATTCAGCTTCCCCGCTAAATTTAGTGGTAAAATTGATGTCGCGTGACCTATTGTCACAGGTTCGGGTGGAAAAGATCCTATAAACGAACACATTTGTAATTTGAATTGCACCGCTGTCCAGGTGATAGGGCCACACCTTGGCGGTGGACTTCCTGAGAGACGGTAGGAATTGAGAGCGAGTCGTGCCTGGCATTATGAACGCTATTTATTAGCAACAGAATTCAAAAGTAAAGAAAAGGTGCACAAAGCGCACACATAGTCGGGAAAAAAAAAAAAAAAGAAAAGAATGAAGTAAAGGAATAGAACATACCTTGCGAGCGTTCCACTCTTCGTAACTGCGACACGAAAAAAACACGAACGATTCGAAAGCCTAACAAAAAAAACAAGAGCCAAATCAAAGACTTCATACAGTTCAGAGGAGGAGAAGAGTCCAATCAGGGTCCAAAAATGTCGGTGGTGGTCTGTTTTCTTACGCCGCCAGTCGGGGCAGAGAAGTCGTGGTGGCTTGGGCTCTTGCAGTGCCGAACAGCGATCACTCACAAGCACACACACACGTCATCGAAGACTTGCTTGGGGCCCACCAAGCGTCCCAACAAAGCCTTGCTCAGGGTTCGACCACCCACACTCACACCCCCGAAGCCTTGCTTTGCTTTCCACCAACAACCACACGCGCACTACTTCTTTTTTTAAAATATTTTTTAAGCTTGTGTTTTCGGCGGTCACGTACCCCGCTCAAAAAGAAAACAAACAAAAAGAACACACAAAAAACCCCATTGAATTTTATGACACCTATACACCAACACACGGTGCTCACGTTACGCCTTGTGTTTCCCCGCTAAATCTGGCGGGAGGACACATCGCAACCTTCAGATCCTTTATTCATCAACAATGTAACGACGCTAAATCAATGCAACGTCTTTTGTATATCGGATCACCGTACGACGCACAATCGGCACAGTGTTAGTCGATTCTCATCGTCGTATCGTCGAATAAGCAGCAGAACTGTTGCTGTCTAAACGCATCGCGCCGTGTGACCTTCGCTCAATTTTCGTTTTCAGCTGTCGCACTACCTGGACATAGTGGAAGTCCAGATTGCCAGGCAGGTGTCCCTCAAGTCGGACGCCTTCTTCCAAGCCATGACCTCCCACGACGCCCTGTCGGCAAAGATGACCACCACCCTACAGGCGGTCTCCAGTCTCAGGTGAAGACCGGGGCTCCTCTAGAACGTGGGTTCTCAGGGTGGGTTCCTAGGGACCCTCCCCAAAAGCGTCCTCATGGGTTCCCTGAGCTCCAGTGTCTCTTCGGTCGTCCCTGCCCCCTGACTGAGGTGCTCCTACATTTTAAACACCATTTTGCAAGGTCTGAGCCATCCATTGACCCATGACTACACGTCGAACTTCTCCTGGTACATGCATTATTTTTTGCGAGGTCTGTAGGCTTCTGTACCGCTTTATTCGGTCAATGCCAAGACCCGTAAAAGGTTTCTTGACTATATAAATCAAAATAGATAAGAGCTCCTAGAGATTGAAAAATTTAAGTATCGCCCGTTTTTAGCCTCCGACATCCCATAATATGTTACATGCACCGGATCGGGGAAGTGACAACACGTTTTTTCTTTAAATCTGCAAGTCAAGAAAAAGGTTCTATTTTTTATTTTTTTCTGTTGCAAACAGTGAATTGGTTGATTCAAGTAACAGAAAGGGCAGGAATGGTAAGGGGTTGTGCATTGCCATTGTACCACATCTCTATATTTTATGTACAAAGGTGTCTTTTTTTTTGCCTCTCCTACGATTTGTGACAATCCATCCCTGCTACAGCTCCCAACGGAGAGCCAGCAGTATGCCTGAATTAGACGTTGCAGAACAAACTGGCAAGCAGAAGAGCACATTCGTGGAAAGCTGCACATAAGCGCACCGTCACTGAATGAGGGATACTCGTGGGGGGGCGCTTTTCGGGGAGGGATTTGCATGACGTCTGTGATCCGTGGAATCTGCGGGACTCCCTTCCCAACTCCAGCACTCGCACGAGTGTTGGGGTGCAGAGGGAGATGCCAGCATTATCAGGCAGATTTACACCCTTGACAACGGGGCTCTGTGGGCACCAACGAGAGTAAAAAACTGAGGCGTACATGAAACGGTGATATGCAACTGTGGCAGCAGCGCTGTTAGGTGCAGAAACCAACACACTGCTTCCTGCTGAAAAAAAAAAAAAACAGAAAAAAACGTTGCTTCTTGAATGGATGGTTGCAACACAAAGAATGTGCAATCCTGAACCAGTTGTATGAGGAGCGGCTTGAGGACGGCTTTGATGCGTATTGAAGACTGTTTTGTTTGCCTCGGACGGCACGCGCAGCAACGCAAGCCACAAGTTAGGCGATCCCTATGCCACTGCCGGTATCTTGTTGAGCAAAATCGGTAAAGTTGCCAGACTTGCAAACTAAATACTGCCAATTGCAAAGAGATCCCACTCCAAGGTGGCATCTGTCTGTACAGCCTGAGCAAAAACTCCCCCATCTCCATGGAATGTCTATGTCAGCACGGCTACATGCAAAGGCGTGACATTGCTACCACGTGATGCGCACCCCAGGGAGCAAGGGGAGGGTTTTATCCCCCTTTTGAGTATCCCTATAAACAAAAACAGACGTGATGGTGTTGCAAGAAACAAAAAATACAGGAATATCTATTTGTGGCGTTTCCCAAAGGTCATGCTATTGCATTACCTAAGAATCCACCAACAGATTTCCTTTAACTTTTCTCACCCCTTTTCTGTACTCTGCCTGTCAGAGTATGAGAGTATGTTGACGCCCTTGGGTACAATCATCCATATCACTCGTGGAAATTACCGCATCCATACCACTCGTGGAAATAACCACGTCCATACCACTTGTGGAAGGAATTGCATCCATATCACTGTTGGAGGGAACCACATCCTTAGTTTTAACTAGACGCACACATCACAGCCCACGCACCGCTACGTTTGTAAACCCAGAGTGAAGAACATTCGGCAACTGAGCATAACTGCATTCCATTGCGCCATAGAACCTCCTCCTCTCTGGCTTCACGCTAGCCGTGCGATGCTCCTTTGACGAAAACGAAAACGCTCGTTTTGACGAAAACTCGGCGGTGTCTGTCAGTTTGTCAGCGCCGGAGAGAGAGGGAGAGGTTGACGAGTGCTGACGTCAGCACTTTGAACCAATCGGAGCGTCGCACGTGTCACCCTCTCCCCCTCCTTCTTCCTCTCTCCCCAGCGCTGATAAACTGACAGACACTACCGGGTTTTCATCAAAACGAGCGTTTTAATGCTGACACATGAAAATGTTTTTGAAGCAGATTTTGTTACAGATAACAGATACTTTGTGTGTTTGTGTTGTTATTGCTTTTTAGTCTCGTCGTTGAGTTTAGTAATTTCCACCAGCTCGTTTCTTTCTGTAGCGATAGTTTTTTTGGCACCGACCTTTGCGTATTTGAACTGTTATGGCATTACTCGTTGTTGACTAATTGGTGGGCCTTCGTAGCGCTTAACGAGTTTAAATTTTTAGCGTGATGCTCGAACTCTAAACTTACCTGCAGGCAGCGCATCAGTGTCATTGATGCCAGTCTAGTCAACGGGGCCCTGAAGGTGCTGCAGCTGAAGCGACTTCATGCAAACTACATCGCCGTCTACAGCAAGGTACTGCCTACAGACCCTTCCTGATGTCGGCTTTCCAATATCTACAGCTTTCCTTTTTTGTACTCGGTAGTCATTGTGATGTTTCACAAAATGTGACTCTCTATACTCTGTTTCACCTCACGATTGACACCAGCGGCCGCTACGAGCCATCCCAGCCAGTCCAGTGTTGCAAACGTCTCACGTGACTACATGCACCTCCATGGCGCTGCTCCCTTCCCAAGGGTCATGTGACATTTGCACGGTGTTAAATTGGCTTCGGTGGTTCGTAGCGTTTGCTGCAGTTCATCGTAAGGTGAAACGGAGTATAGGCAGCCTGACTGGTAGCTTATAGTAAGATTGCGACAAACGAAAAGTGCACCAGTTGTTGTCAGGGTAAGTGACCTAGCTTTTAGTATCTCGCCTTGTTCAGCTTGAGTGCATAAGCAGCACCGCCGGTAAAAATCTTGGCTTTTCGGAACGCAAGTAAAACGAGCAAAAAAATTAGCGTTCAGTATCACTAATGTAGTGTTTTGCAAATATTTGAATTTTCGAATAGTAGTTTTGAATAGTTGGCTATTCGATATTCGCTTTGAAGTGAACTGCAATAGTGATACTTTTTTAAGTGTTGGTTGCGAAGGGCTAGCCCTATTGAGTGAGCTTCTCGCCGATCACCCATGGCCATCGTGGAGCTCGCGGACGTTGTGAGTATTGCTTTCCAGCGGTGCACAGGTGCTCGGTGAGAAGCACACTCAACGGGGCTAATTCGCCGAGATTATGCATGTAAGGCAGCAATGTCTTGACAAACCCGCTTTCATCATTCATGCTTTTCTTTTTTTTTGTCAAATTTGAAATAGAAGAAAGAATATTTGCATACAGCAAGCAGTTCTATAAATCCCCTTGATTAGAATCGCTGCGACAGATCTGTCGTTCGCGTGCCACAGTTGGTAAGTTAAATTATACTTAACTGAGCTTAGAGGTGAAGAAGCGGGAGGTTGAAAACAACCGTCACAAGTTTAGCTCAATTTTTGTTTTAACATGGTTCACAATAATGTAAAGTTTGGAAAAACCATTTGATATTCAATTCGAAAATATTCGGCCAAAACCCTTATCGCTTCAAACTCAAAATCCATTATTTGCAGATGCCTAATTACTAGACAACACGTGGTAGCACATATTGATTGCATTTTAGAACACAATGTGCATGTGTATTCCTATAATGTTGATCAAAAATTCTTAAAATCTCGGCTATTCCTCCTAGTTCATCAAGTCCTATTCCTCCTAGTTCATCGTTTCACCATAAGTGATAGCGAAGCAGGAGCTACAAGAGCAAACATCATGCTTTGATCAAGCATACTGTGCACGTGCGCACAGGCAGTGTAAGCATCATTCAAAGCAATAAGCTTATGCATATAGCTTCAGTTTCCCTCGCGCTTGTGACAAAACATACTTTCCAGTTTAAGTGACTTAAGGGGGGGACATGGGCCTAAATTTTAAATTTTTTTGAAAAATTTCATTTTTTAATTTTGAGGTTTTCAGTTTTAGAAACTAATTATACACCCTTACATCAAATTTGATAACCATATGCCAAATAGTTACATTGATATAAAATATTTTCAACACATTGTGAGGCAGTAACAAAGTAAAGGAGTTCAATGTTTGAATGGATTTTTCTCAGTTCCACTTTTTGCTGCAAATTTCATACGAAGGAAATCTTTCGTTCGAAGGTGAAAGTATTCTGATACCACAATCAAGATGTTTCTGAACTGAAATTTACTCAGGAATCGGGCTATCTACTTTATTTTGTCTTAGGTTGAAGTCCTCAGTGATAAAAAGCCAAGTTTTCAAAAATTGATAGAGGACAGATATGTATCTCATAGTTTGAGGTAATAACTCTTCCTGAAATATTTACATTTAAGTTATTAAAACTAGATAGCCCGAGGTCCCATATCCCCCACTTTATATTCAAGCAGTCAAAATGATGCTTAATAGCTTGATTTGCATATCATAGATTTCTTAATGAAAAGTGACACATCATCTTATGCAGGTATGTAAATTTGTCCTAGAGAGCTGAAAGTTTGCACAGTACACCTACATCTGAAGCTAAATCTCCCCTGCAAATTTCATTCCGATCACACTCTAGCCAGTGTCCCCCCTTAAAATTTTGCAGCATTCTTCACTTAAAACTGAGAAATTTGTGGCTTACTGCCATACTACGCCTGCAAACAACTTCATAGATCATTCGTGACGTGAAATAGTTCTAATCTCGCCGAATCGCCACTTTCCCCAGCTCCAATTGATGGCCACTGTGCATCAAGCGCAGCCGACGATCCAGCGGCTCCTGGCGACTTCCGACTTTGTGCGGGCGCTCGACTTCATCGAAGCCACTCGCGAGATCCTCACTCTGGAGTTAGCGGGTGTGCAGAGCTTTCGGTGAGTGGTGCCCCTAATAGCCTCGTCCCACTAGAGCGACAAACATTGGTTTCTGTCCGACGACACCACAAAGTTCCGTGTCGCCGATGCTGTCCCACTGCAACGACCAACACCCGCGACAATCGCCGACAAGCGCCGACAAACGATCAACGACGGACGAGTTCTTGTCTGTTGTTGGACTTCAAGCGCAGCAAGCAGTCCCTCTGAGGAACATCTCTTGGAGACAAACTTATCCTCCTCGCCCGCTTACGCCTTCTGTTGCCTCCCTTCCCACCCTTTTACCCTTCCTCCCGGAACGAGAAATCCTTGGCGGCCACTCCTCGTTCCCGGCCCCGCAGTTCCGGTCCCTCGATTGCACGTAGTGGTTGCGGGCGCGGCTTGCTGGCTGGGGCCAGGCGGTCGTGTTGCGAAAGCGAATTTGCTGTGACTGGTTTTGCTCGCAAAAACTTGGTGCGCGAGGTGGTGCTCCAAGACACCGAAGTCTATGCCCCTGCATCAGGATGGATACACCCATGTGCGAGGACTGACCAAAGTAAGACCGCTGACCACGAAGTAGGACACGACGTTCCGCGGCAAGCCATTCCGGCAGACGAGAGACTTGTCATCACGTTTTGTGATAATCGGGATGCCGTATTGTCTACCAAAAAACGCCTGCCCTCGATCATTGGAATATGAAGTTATAAATATCCTCAAAATCAGCGTGAAATTCCGTGGCGCTCACCTATAATGCCTCGAAAGGCCAAAAAAAGGAACGATTCGGGTATTCTAGTTCGGAAAAAGTTTGGTGTCGAGTGTCGCGACTGTTTGCCGAAAGTTGCCATTAGCAAATGAAGAGAAGCAGAAGCTTTAATCAAGAAATAAAGTAATCTGCTCCACTTTCACCGTGCAAAAGAGCAAAACACGAAAACCGCGTCGCCAGACTCTGTTTGTCTGTGTATTTTGAAGTGTTTTGTTGACAACTCCAATCCCACTAGGAAACAAGTGTCCTTGCCCCCGTGTTCTGCGTCGTGTCCGCCCAGGTGGGACGGCGGACTCCGACAAACAGGCTGTGTGTCGATGTCATCTGTCGCTCGTTGTCGTGTGTCGCTGTCGTTTGTTGCTGTCTGTCGCTCTAGTGGGACGCGGCTATAACCGTTTCACGTTGTTTTGGAACATCAACGATGACAACATCATCATCAGCATCATCAACAACACCATCATTGTTATCATCATCATCAGCAACAACATCAACATCATCAGCAGCAGCAGCAGCATCATCGTCGTCATCGTTTATTAAACTTTCAGGACCCGCAGAAAGGGTAATGAAGATGCACAGGAACTGTTCGCACTCTGCTATGAAACGGCGAAAGCTCTGTTCTTATATTAATTACTTATTTAACAAATAATACAACCTTTATCTTGTATATTTTGACTAAAGCAAAACTGAAGCACTATTGTTCTGGTACCCAATTGATGTAGGTTAAATTGACCTACCTACTTTAGGTTAACAAATTATCAAGGCCAATCCCTTTTTATTTCTACTGTAAACTGAAGCTACCGTATTTACACGAATGTAGGTCGACCCTTTTTTCAATTTTTGAAAATCTGAAGTGGGGGGGTCGACTTATAATCGAACAAAAGCATTCCACCGCCGGCAAAAACGAAACAATCGCGATACCATCGACACCTCGGCTTGTTACGAGTTCACCCGGCTGTACCCCGAGCATTATACTGTTTTGTGCGCTCGTTTTACAAATTAATTATTTTTTTATTTGCGCGAACGAGTATTATTAGTAGCGATTCGCAAAATAACCCGAATGCACGGCGGTGAACAGAGCACGGAGCGCCCGACTCCCGGGGGTCACGGCTCGCTTGGCTCGCTCACCCCGCGGCGCCGCGACTTATCTTCGCAGTTTTTCGCACGATTCACGGTCGCACATCGTTTGATAGAGTACGATATGCTGGTGCGCTAACAATGTTCATTTGTATTGAAACGCGTGATCCTGGCAGTTTCGGTTTTCGGTGCTCGTTTATGGCCATTCTTCACTCAGAAGCAACCAACAGCTGCGCTGTTGGACGCAAGTTCAACCCGTGGGAGTGATGTGATGCTCCAGTGGAGTCTGCGGTGGCGCGGAATCTTAAAGTGTGACGGCAATCGAAGAAGCTTCTGCAGGCCAAAGTCTGGATAGGTGGGGATGCCTTCCGGAGTTGGAGGTCACGCTTGCAACGGTACGCCGCAAACGTGCGCAATCGGTCCCTACCCGTGACGTCCAATGCGATCGCCGAGCAAGCGCGGAAGATGCGGTTGATCCTGTCATTTGCGAAGTGCGAAATTTCATTGGACGACGCCGACGACATGCTTGGAGAACGTAGCAGTGATGACGACTGGACTAACATCCCCAGTGCGGACGAGTTGTAGTCTAGTCGCGGATGGAGTGAGAACGACAGTGAGCAGCTTCAGTTGTCCCGCCTCCAGCGTGAACTTCCTAGTCCCGATAACGCCTGGCCATCTCATGCACCTCGCATGTGCATGCGCAGCCAAAGCACGTCAGAAGGCATCAATCGCGTGTTGGAGGCTCGGCTTTCGAAACATACTTTGCCGTTCTCACGTGTTTGCAATAAAATGCGCGTCTGGAAACAAAATTTTTTTTTTTTTTCTTGCTGATGTGCGATGTGGGGGGGTCGACTTACAATCGAGTCGATTTACAATCGTGTAAATACGGTAGATTTCCAGGGGAAAAAAATTCAATGCTAAGTTTTCTCAGAGTATCTTGCTTTGAACCAGCCTGCCATATTTTCATAACCATTCAACAGTGCAACGGGTGCTGGATGTGATGGAACGTGAGAGCAATTTGAACCTTCCAGTGACTGGTGTAAGAGGCGCAGTTGCTCAATGAAAACATGCTTTCCGTCTCGGTTAGCTTCGAGAGTAAAAACGGGTGATGACCCTGAATCGCAGCACTTCAGGCCGGGTAAACAGTTTTAAAAAAACCAGGGTGTGATTTTGATCACAGTAACATTGCCCACGAAGAAAAAAAATCATTTTTTGTTCAAGCACTGTTTCATGCCGGTCATGCAGTTTTCTGCCTGAGAACACAGTGCCCCTACAGATCTTTTTGCACTCTGGCATCTCTCTGAATGCAAACTTAATTGCATTGGCAATTCAGTTCCAACATTGGCACGTGTAAAATGATCAACAGCTCGTATTTTCCCCCGCAGTTGCCATGCCGGTTTGGCAGAGAAAAAAGGATGACATGCTCGTTGCATTTAAATGCCTATAACTACTCCGCTGGCATTTAATTCACTCAAAAACCACAAGATGGCAGCTACGCCATTGACAGCACAGATACCGTGCGGTGTCGACTGGCCCTCAAATCGACATGTTTCTGCCCAGGCATCTGGACTGCCAGCTCATCGAGATCGAGAAGGTCATCGACAAGATGATGCAGACGGACTTCCTCAAGTACGCCACGGCAGACCTGAACAGGCCGCTGGCGGATGACGTCCAGGTCGCAAACGAGGTGGGTGTCCAACTCCGCTTCCGTTGACCCCAACTGAGATTTCTGGTTTTCAACATTGACTTGTGGAAAGATTTTTTTTTGTGTAAAAATTGGGCATGGAGCTTGCAAGGTCAGTGTGGGGGTGTCTGTAAGAACAACTTAGTGTGTACAGTTGGTGAAAAAGTATTATGTGTAGGCACAAACAGGGATGTCTAAGGGACATCAAAATGCGGCCTTTTTCGTTTCAGGAGCACCTAGTTGCGGTTGTCTTTGGCATGCTGCGGCTCGGGAAGCAGTCCTTTGTCGACCTCTACAAGGAGGAAGCGTGCACCGCCGTCAAGGCCACGGTGAAGCAGGTGGTGCATCGCATTCTTTGCATTTGGGTATCCTGTAATGCGGAGCGCAAGTTTGTCTGCTTCTTTTGCGGGGGTTGTGATGACAACAGAATGCCGAGCTTTGACTGGCTCTGATTGAAGGATAATGGGTAGACCGCAGCTAGCATTGAAGTCTACCAACTATCCTTCAATCAGAGTTTGGCGTTCTTACGTCACCACAACCCCTGCAAAGGAAGCAGACGAACTGGCGCTTTGCTTTGCCCCGAAAAGGGAGATGTCCCGTAATTGTCAGGAAAGGGAAGGTATTTCTCTTTACATGTTCCTGTCGATATTTCAATTATTATTTAATTTTCCTCTCACCCACTCCCCTCTTCAATGCCTTATCTTAAGGGCATGCAAAGTAATGTGTATGAATAAAACATAAATCCTCACAGAACGAGAGATATCCCGTAATTGTCACGAAAGAGAAAGCATCCCGCCATTTTCAGGAAGGAGCATATTGCGTAATTAACATGAAGGAAAGGGTATGCTATAGTCGGTGGTGGAAGTGCTGCGCCAGTTGTGCCTCGAAAAAAAGTCTGCTACCTCTTGCGCCAAAGTGCCATTTTTGCTAAGAATTGTGCCACACTTGCTAAGAGATAGGCTTAGGCTAAGCAAAAAATAAAAGTATTTTATTATTGGTTGAGCCTAATATTCAAAAAAGTAGGAGGAAAGGAAAATGGTACAAGTATGTACCTTACAGCGTCTCGACTCACTGTACAGTTTGTTTCGTCTTACGTCAGAGCACAGTCGAAGGCTCGAACGCACAGAACCACGAACACTCGTGCTAAAAGCGGAAGTCGCTGGACGTTCGCCTCACTTGACTGGTTTAGCCGACGAAAGAACTCGTACAGGAAGTTGGACGAATGCCGTGGTGTCGCAATTCGACGCTGTTTGGTTGCTCCCATTGGCTCGTAGCATCAGCTGCACTTTGAATCCAGATCAGATGAAGTATAGAGAGATTGCTCGTCGACCGTGCTGGTCGGTTGGTGCGCTGGCGAGTTAATAGCTAACATTGTCTAAATTTCCAGACAGTATCAGCGATGCCAGGAGCTAAAAGTCGCGGGAAAACATTGAAAAATAGTAGGATGGCGGCTACTGTGATAACGCAGAACCAGGGTCTTGCGCTCCTGATGAGATCACTGGATTATCATGTCTGCCGCGTGCCTCCGTACCGCCTCTTACCAGCGCACGCGCGTCAAGCTTCACCGCTTTGCACCGGGGTGCTAGGAGCAGCGGTTGGCATGGGTTAGCACGACAGGCTCGAAAATTACTGTACAGGTCTACCTTCTTCGGTCTTGATTGTAGGTTCAATCTTTCATCTAAAAAAGCTCTGCCGAGATAGATGGAAAAAAGAGGAAGCGCGGGTCTATATTTGGCCAAATACGGTAGTCAAAGTAGTTCCTGTGCAGCTGTTGATAGGAAGAACTGCAAACTTTGATTTCAGTCTGGTTCCAACGCCGCTAAAGAAGTATCATTCCCAAGCACAAGTAATATTTCCTAATATTTGTGGGTGGTTCTTTTTGCAGTATATAATATATTAGTCTTGAGTTTGGTAGGTTCACGAAACTTGGGGGAAGCATTTTCGTTGGTAGGCATGTCAGTGAATATGCTGGTTTTTGCAGGCATTTTAGGGAAAGTATATTTATAGGCTGAATAAGCTACCAGGTGTAAAAGAGGGAGGGGAGAGAGGCTTTATCCCAACTGAAGCGTAACGCTGATTCACTTTTCAACAATTCCTTTTAGTACCCATTATAAATAGAACCTACTCTGACCAGAGCATCATTTCTAAAAAGAAGGTTCTGTGCTCGTTTTGCATCCTATCTGTTCTATCACAAAAGGTTATAAGTGATACAGTAATCCCTCGTTATAACGAAATTGTTTTTCTTTTTTTTTTCTAATTATCCCTTTTATCTAAGTTTAAGTGGTCCTGACCGAAATGCTCGCATATTTAATCGGACTATTTTAAGTGTGTAGGCGGCCGACCGTGCTTATTACAAAGGTCAAGGTGCCGAAAGCAAGCAAGTCTACACAGAGAGCCTTGCATTCTCTCCCCCTCCTCCACCGAGGCAAACAGCAACCTGGGAAAACGCAGTAAACGGGTGACGAAGGGCAGTAAGCGTAGAGTTGGCAGAGCGCTGCTTCCGATGCCGACGCGGGGACACTGGCAGGGAGCAGCGTCAACGTTCCAACACTACTCACGGCTCCCGCGGCCGACGCTGACTGACTCTTGTCAGAATCGAGTTAAGGGAGCGATGGAGCTCAGAGATCATCCTTTCGAAAACCCCCGACGCGCGCGCCTGCATGGGCGCACTTGCGGCGTATTACATGCACATGTGCATGATATGGGAGATTGGGGTTGCTTACCAAAAGTCGCTTAAATCTGCGAGGTTTAAAAAGTGGCCGACCAAAGTCCGAAATGGCCAAAGAATTCAACATTCTGGCATTGGCTGTTCAAAACTGTCCACCATTTTGCAGAGCAAGCAAGACATATATTGGACGGGTTCGAGACGTTTCTCATGCAGGAGAAAGTGCGCCCGTTACCCGAAGATGAAAGCTCGTCCACTTTTTTGTGCACGTGAAAACATGTTGGCAAAGCCACTGAGGACACCTTTGACTCGTTCGCACTTGTCGATGCGGACATTCCCATTGTTGCTTCTGCCACAGATGCTGCGATCGTAAACCTTGGGTGCGGCCAGGGTAAACACCAAGCAATGTCAGAGAGGCACCCTGGCAAATGTCGCCGACTGCGGATACGTGAAACATGCTATGGCTGCTTCGAAACAAAGTGGAGTGCAGCGGCGGTGACAGGGTTCTTGCAAGGCCTGGAACAGTTAGAAAACTGATGCCCGGATGAGATTATCGGCGAACTCTACTTAATTATTACTTTACCGTACTCGATAAAGCTGCCGTGAGATGTTCATAACCAATGTTTGTTTGATTAAATATATGGTCAGAGTGTTTTGCAGTGTTCCATACTTGAATTTTTTTGCCGTCCCATTGACTGCGTTATAACGAGAAATTACTCTATGCTCCAGTATCAGAGAGGAACCCTCAATCCTTTAAAACGGGGGTTGGCAACCGGCAGCCCGTGGGCCAAATCCGTCTCGCGAGGCCATGTGATACGGCCCCTGGCATGCTACCAGAAAGCCACAAACACACACACGCACACACACATATACTCTCAAGGGCTAAAGGCAAATATGGTTGGTTTGCAAGCCTTGTGTCATTGGATGCATTCATTCTGAAGCAGCACACCAGGAAGTTAGTTTTCTATGCACGTTCACTGTACATGTATCACCTATCCGCAGTTGTTGTGCACCAAAGTGATGCATTGAAAAGCATTAATTGAGGTCATCAAATCCTGCACAAACTGTTCAAAAGCACGGTTTTGTACCATTGTCAATTCCAACAATTTCTGTCGAAGCGACTGGTCAGAATGTTGGCATAAATCATGTAGGCTATATCATTACCAGGAGAAATTGGACAGACGGTCTTTAGTTTGTCTGGGTCTTTGGATGTTGGAATGAGAATTGCATGACCTAGCTTGAAAATGATGCAAGCGAAACCTGGGTCCCAAGATCCCGCAGGATACAGTGTGCAGCACAGGGCATAGTAGTTCAGTGTGCGTCATATCAATAATGTTCGGAAGCTGACCCCACCCCTGCGGGTTTTTCATCTGGCCCGTTCCGTCTTCGTTTTGCGGCGATTTGGCCTGCTGCAGCGAAAAGGTTGCCGACCCCCGACAAGACAAACTCATTGAGCGATAGAATCTCTTTTTAATTCTCGAGCGATGTGCTAACAGATGTTGGCATCTGCTTCAAAAACGTCAGTGGCTGCTCCAAACAAATGTTTTGCCCGCTACAGAACCTGCTACAAAAGGTCAAATGACGCTTCCACCACTGCATAGTTTCAGAGAAAGTGAAGGTATACTTCGTCGTTTCCGGAAAAGCGAGGTTAGGTGTCCTCTAATCATCGGGGAAAGGACAGTGCCCGCAATGGCGAGGAAAGTCGAGGTTGTTTCCTAATGAGTGTAACTTTGTCCCCGTTTTTTTGCAGACTGTCATCGAATTTGTTTCGAGGAATGACGAGCTGGATCTAGAAGGCAATGGAAACAGGTGCACATTTATGGCTGATCTTGCGCTTGCTCTTGGCAGGGCTAGGAAATTTCATATAATTTTTTTTTTCTCACCAGTTTGTTTGAGCAAGTGAAGCAGCTTGACTTCGTTAAGTGGATCGCTCTCCTCAATGAAGTATTCAAGAATGTGGCCCTGCTGCTCAGGAGGATACTGGTGAGGGTTTCTTTTATTTCAGTTGTACAGCTCTTTTTGGAAACTTGCTTGGCACTAGTTGAAACGTATTTCATAATTTAGTATATTAGCATTGTCTGTATATGTCAACTTCGAGGCAAAGTAAAGTCTAAGGCACATGTATTATTCGTAAAAGAAGTGGTTTGCCATAACCAGATGTTTATGTTTTGTGTCAAACGAGATTTGCTCGAAAATGAAGAAAGAACTGAAGGCATACTTTTTTGACTCGTAGACCTTGGAAGAACGGGAGGGTCAGTAAAAACAAATTTATGCACTTTTTCAAATAGACAGATTGAGACAGAACGTCACTAGTTTTTTGCTTCTTGTTACATTGTGCCGACGCCCTAGTACTTGCTATGAGGCTTTTTTTTTTTCTTTTATGTCTGAAGTAACTTTAAAATCTACGATTAGGTCATTTCCCAGTTGAAAAATTTGTGTGAGAACAGCGTTTGTTTTACGGCGTTAGCTGTTAGTGTCCCTTCCCGGCAAAAAAAATGCTCACGCACGAACGCAAAACCCGACTCTACAGAAGAGACACTGCTTCACCTCTACCCATTGTTTCTCACACATAACACGCCAACTGCAACAGGGCTCCCCCCCCCTCCCCCCCCCCCCCCCCCCCCCTACCCCTCCGGCATCCGCCTTTGTGAAATACCCACGTGGTCGCACTGCGACGACAAGCCCCTTTGCCTCCCCACTGCCGCCACCCAGGTTCCGTTCTCGCGTGCTCTCCGTGCCTTTACAGAACAGCTCGCCTACACACTTTCACTTCCTCCACCGTAGCCGCGGTCACGTGCGCCCCTTGCTCACTGTCTAATGCACATGGCCAAACTATGCAAGCTGTGTGATTTTTTTTTATGTGGTATTTACTTATGACCATGAAGCAGTTGAAGTAACCAGCAACGTAATTTTTCCTTTCCGGTGCTAAAAAAACAACAAAACAAGGCTGTGCAGCAGTTGATGAAGCAGACAGTTGACCTTGCGGCAGGCATCTCTCACTCGGACGAGAGTAGCCAGCAGTACCAAAGGTAGGCCTTCAGACTTTGATGTGCAAATCTTTCTTGCCCCAGGTGGCATTGTCTCCTCTCCCTAACCTTAAACCTTTACATTTATCTTTGTTGTTTTTGTTTGTTTTTTTAACTTCTGATCTTCCCTTTCCTTGTCTACCCTTCTTTCACCCATGAACCTGCCTCTTTCCGTCAACCTTTGGATCACCTTGGATCTTTCTTTATTTGTAGAATTAGTTGCCATTCATCTTTGTACAATTTGGGAGCCAATTTTTAATTGTGCCTTACCCTTTTTACCTTCAGATGACCTCGAACCAACCTTTTTTTTTAAAATTCTAATCTCACTTTCTAACGTTGTTCATTTATATCGGCTGACGTATGGTCTAACCACTGGCTTTGATTTTCAGTTGCTTGTTTCTTTTGTCTTTTATATGATCTACAAGTTTCCTTCCACTACGTTTTACTTCCTTTGACCTCTCCGACATTGAGCTATTGTCCCGTCTGAGCTCGACGCAATCTTGAACCAACCTTTGTGTGATTTCTAATTTTAAACCCTTACCTTGCTGGTTTTTATCAGCTTGCGTACGACCTGACCCCTGGCGTTGATCCGCGCTTGCTTTCCGTTCTTGACCTTGACATGACCTCCAACTCTTTTTTTTTTCTTGCCCTACATTTTACATTCTTTGCCTGACGTTCAGTTTGGGAGTCTTGTCTGACCTTGACATGACCTTGCCTGTTTGCTCTTCCCAGCCAGGTCGAGGTGATGATGGATACGGCGACCCACGACGAAATCGTGGCTTCTCTCTCGAGCATGTTGTTCGCAATCTGCGACTACGCCCACGAACGGTGCTCCAGGCTCATTCCCTCTGAAACAAAGGTTGGTGCCGTGAATGGGTGGCCACATATGGCTGAACCTTCTTAATTGGGCGGTGGCTTGCGCCACCTATAGTCTGCTGCAGGCTTAGAAGAGCAGGACTAGCTTCTCTCACAAATCACTGCACTCTTTCCCCATTTTTATATTTAGGGACCTTCATTTTCAGGTAAAACACGACATTTCCCGATATTTACACCCTGGACGCATCTTCTGAAAATCGGGTTAAACCCGATTTTTCTTCAAACTTTGGAAATTCAATTTTAGCATTTTTCGAATTACTACTCTGCTTCGAAAATATTTTCTAGGAAACAAAGAGTTGGTAGGGACACGTGCCCTACTAGCACCAGACCTCGGAAACAATCCTAGATTCTTTTGGGATTCGGTGAACTAAAATGACATAAATCTATCTAAATTTTTGTGCCAGACCAGCGCAAAAATAAAGAGAAAAATGAAGGGTGAGAAACTATGTGTTACAAATGTATTCGTGAGCTGTAATGCTGAGAAAACGTTCTCTCAGTTCTGATACTATGTCCGAAAACTGGACAGGTCTACGACGGCGACAGAGATGCTGTGCATGCAGAATCTTATGTAAGCAACGAGGATTCATGAAAAATTTAAAAGCCCATGTGAGCTCTTACCACATTTCAATGCTATCTTGTGTACACTACTTAAACAAAAATATCTGTATTCAAACCAATCTATGGTTAATTATACTCGCATATTTCTCAATGTAACGTGAAAAACCTGAATTTTGTAATAATTAATATAAAAAAAAAAAAAAAATTTCTCCCCGAATACCATTTTGAATTAAAGTGCCCAATTTTTACCCCCCCTCGATTTTTGAAAAATATGAGACCCGAAAACGAAGGCTGTTACTTATATTGTAACAGATTATATGGCCAATGGTTTTATTATGAACAGTTATCCTCTGCGACTTAGAACCTGACCTGAGAGCTATATTTCAGAATATTAAAAAAAATGTTTTTTGCATTCTAATCACTAATTTGTTGGCATTGCACGACACTTCTCGATGTGCTGACACCCAACAATTTAAGGAGCTGCGCAACAATTTCACTACTTTGCTTAAATGATTGTAAGAATTGGTGCCTCGACCTGTCTGAAGTAAAGAACAAAAAACCGCTTTTGCCTGCATGTCCTAATTTATTTTAAAAAATGACAGAGATTGAGGTTTTTTGGCCCCTCTCGGCTCCTTCACCGTCTTCCGAGTCACGTAGGCCGTGACGTGAAAGGGGGACGCGCTAGGTTCCGGTTAACCTCCCTCTCTCTATACCCGTTTTCACCTCAAGAACCGTAGTAAAAAAAGTCCGGCGCCACGTGGAGCATTACTAATTTCCCCCTTTATGTTGATAATTAAGACGTACGTAGGTGAATTTTAGATAAGATATATGTTATCTTATCAGGGCGTACACGCTCCATACACCAAAAGTATCGCTTTTTTCCTCGAACAACCAAATCTCGTAAGAACTATTTCGCACCGCGTATGAACAATGCGCAAAACTTGCTTTTTTTTCTTAAGGTGAAAATGGGTATAGCGCTCGCTCGCGGTCAGGTGACCACATGCTTACGCCGCGCGATCGGCATGGCGAAAGGAGGGAAGTGCCAACGTGCAGGTTTGGGTCCGGCCGTCCAGAGCGACCGTCCGGCTTCTGGCGGCTCTTCGCGGTAATAGATAGAGCCGACGGTTTTGTTGACCTCGGGTAGATGGCACCACTGAAACTCCGAATAATAAAAGTTTTGTTAATGATACCAGGTTTTTGATGCATTTATATTTATGCTGGAACGGCAAGATTCATAGAAAAATTATCTTTTAGGCCCACTTCAGACAGGGCAACTTTTCCAGCAATTTTGAGGTTGCTGGCGGGTTGTTCCCTAGCTTTCCCTAGATCGACGCGAATTGCTGAGATCGGGTCCGGCTCGAACGAGCGAGCAACTCGGAGCAATTCGAAGACGTTTAAAACGGCTGCAGCCAATCAGGGACGCGATATTTTCACGTGACACCCCTGTGGTGGTGATGATGACAGCTATAAACTTGGTTCTGGTTTGAAATGGATCGTTTTTGGAATAAACTTTTTCAGAAAGATGAGTTAGTATTCTCAACACCATTCAAAGATATAAAAACACGTTTTTAGCGTGTAGCTGTGCGTCTAAATAGTGTAAGAAAAATCAAATTTCACGATGATGATGGCAAGTCGTTGCAATTCGGTTGCTGCGTGTGAACGCGGGCGGCCCGTATTGCTGGAGTTGCGACGTCAAGTTGCTGGGCGAAATTGCCCTGTCTGAAGCGGGCCTTATCGAGCAGGCAGTTGCACAACTTGGTATATTTTTTACAAGTCCCCCTTTGACATCGTGTTGCGTAATCTTCATGGCTACCACTCGCGGTAGCAGATCAGGAAATATTTTAATTTTTGCCTCGCGATTACGCGGCAGAATCGCAACTTTTGAAGGAAGGAGATGTCCCTTGTAACAAGGTAAACAATGTCGAAAGTAGAAGATGCAAATTGTTTCAACATTAAAATCGTTGCACATCAACGTTAAAATTTAGTGTCTCTCCTGTGCTTTACGTTTGGCACACTCACAAAAGCTGGCGACATCTGGCGATGCTCATCCTGCAACGCTATGTGGCTGTGGTAACGTTACTCTTGGGCATAGCTTACCATACTTGCTTGAGTATAGGTCGCTCTTTGTTTTTTTGCCACTGTGATGCCGGGTTAGCAGCGGTGCTATAACCATAGCCAAAGGTTAGCCCATGGGAATGTAACCCCAGTCTAGCGTTCCTTTCTCGACCGTTTCAGGACGGCTTCCTAGACAAGCTGAGCTCATCGAGCTTTGTGACACTGTGCAAGGCTGTGGACTCATTTACGGCGCAGTGCAACGAAACCTGCAAGCACAAGAGCACGGTCCTCCTGCTTGCATTGCGTACCCAGGTCTGTATGCTTGCATCCTGGCATTTCACTGGTCCATTCACGTATCCTAATTCTGCTACTGTTTGTTGTCTTCGAGGGGCAAACATAAAATGCTGAAGACCCGCTGTGCAGCTGCTTATAGTGCAGACGTGTTAATCATTGGGGCTGTACAAATACCGCTTCAGATTGAAAGGCACAGCGTTGTTCCTAACTTCAGCAGTGCAAAGGGAGTCGGTATTCTGGTGGGAGGTCTCCCTAACTCTGCAAGGGCTATGAAGGGTGCAGCACTGTTTTATTTAATCCACTATATTCACACAGCCCTAGTTTACTTTGTTTTATCTGGGTCCTTTAGTAATAGCGGCTTGTGTGCATGCTTTTGACATAGAATGGCAAGCATGTGCTAATAGTGGATTCCTAGTTCAAAGCGAATAGTGGTTTGAGCCCGAATATTTTCTATTCAAATATGAAATAGTTTTTCCAAGCCTTTCACTGCTGCACCCTGCTTAAACGAAAACTCGCTGAAGTCGTGAAGGTCATTCCCAAGCTTCCACTTGTCCACTTCTAAGCTCGGTTAAAATAACTAGATTTGCAAACTATGGCATGTAAATGACAAATTTGTTGCGGCTATCCTAGTCGAGGAAATTTCTAAATCTACTTACTCTGCGTAAATATTTTTCCTTCAAATTTAAGTTTGACAAAATAAAATAAAACAGCCCTTCCACTCTGGTGAAGAAGGAAGAGCAACAGAGCTATAGCTTCTGTTCACGGCGGTGGCTTTCCAGGCGAGCGATCTGCTCTTTTTTCACAAGGGAATGTGAAGCACTCGACGCAGTGGAACTCTAGGCGATAGCGGCCTCGCAGCGGTTGCAAAACCATCCGCGCTGCTGCACACATCGCTGCTCGTTCTGTTCCCGCTCTTCTTCCTCCGAAGAAATGTTGCCGCCATCTATGAGCGACGGCTGCAACTAGAGTGTTGTGTCGACCATGGGTGTCGACATGTGTCTGGTACCGGACACAATTTTGGGAAAGCTAGCCCATAACAGCAGTGTTGTAAAAAAACAAACAAAAAAGTGAGGACATTTAAGCACTTTTTATGAGTTGTGAATGTGAAAGCATGAATGTCGTTCTTCCGCTCCCTTCGTTCGTCTGCGGAATACTGGCGTGGGACGGCCATGTTTCGCTGCTGCTGCGGAGGTTGCGGCCGATAGCCGAGCGCGCTCTCTTGTGAAGTGGCCACGCCGCGCTGAGCTCGGCCGTGCAGCCTCTTCGGAGTTTGCCCGAGCGGGCTGTGCGGCCAACTGCTTTCTCTTACCGGCGGGCGGCCGGGCCGCTGCGTGCACTGCTCCGCCATGGAGAGGGCTTCTCTGGTGGCATTTTTTGGAACTATGCAGCGCGAGAGCCAGTGGGAGCCTCGTTCCTTGATGACGCGCACCAGCCAAAGGGAGTCTCCATCTGATCGCGCTTCACTTCGCTGTATTGGGGCAGAGGAGTTAAGGCACCGCTTGGCGCGGCTTCAAAGCTGATTACATTGGTTCGCTCCATGGGCGCGAACGCGCACTAATGATGAACGCAGGTTGTGAAGTGTTAAAACGGAATGAAAGGTTTTGTAGACCAAAACGATTTAATGAAAACTTTGAGAAATAATTTGATACAAGGGTTGCTATATTCGCGTCTGTTTTCGGTCGTGTCATAGTCAAATATGTCTCTTAGTCTCGTTCGCGCTTCCCCTTGCTCCTGTTTCTCGTGTCTTCCTTTCTCATTCCCACGCCGCCCACGTGCCGGCATTGGGGGTCGAAGTCCAGCTAGTTGGGTTCCGATCGCATCGTCCGATCGAGGCGGGGAAGGCTATCCTTACGCGTCTTGGCCGCTAGCATATTCGCTTACACAAGACTTTGCTGCCCAACATGTAGTATACTTCTGCATAATCGCGGCGGGTTAGCCCTGCTGAGTGCGCTTCTCATCGAGCTCCTATGCACTGCGGGGAAGCAACATAAGCGGAGCCTGCGAGCTCTGCGGCGATTGCTTCCCCGCAGTGCACAGGTGCTCGATGAGAAGCGCACTCAACGGGGCTAAAGGCTGGCTTGCACATTTGAGACTGCTTACGACTGAAGAGGCTAAAAAAACAGTTTTTAAGCCTCTTGTGACTGCTTGCGACCGTCTGTGCAACGGTTGTAAGCAGCCATAAAAGGCTTAAAGGGCAACTCTGCTTCATTTTTGTTCTTGAAAAAACAATGCAGTCCTCTTCAGTATCACCTAGGAAGACCACACGTCAAATATTAATGCGAAAGTATTAACTGTCCGATGGAGCGAGTTGATGTCATCAGTTTGAAGCGCGAAAACGGCACCTAGTTTCCCCAATCCAAAAGGAGCGAAGTAAAGCTGATGGATTTCGCCTTCGGTTCCATTGGCCGCTGCGCTCGTCAGTTTCCACAACCACTCACCCCATGGCGCTGCGTGTCCATCAGCGCGCCATTAACACGGAGCGTCCAGGGTCAGTGTGCCCAGGGGAGCACGCGCGCTGACCGGCGACAAAAAGTATGCAGCAGACGAAAAAGGGAGCGGACGAGCGGCTTGCATGTTTTCACATTCACATTCAACGTGGAAAGTGCTTGCTATGAAGGAACTGCGAACCTGTGCTCTAAACTGCTCGACTTTTTAGCTTCAGAAAGCGTGTTTTTATTTAGAAACAAACGAAAAAAACCTTATTTGTAAGTTTTGTTATTGGAGATCGATAAAAAAAAGTGAGTGGCTTTTGAATGCAGCGGTCAATTACAGGTCTAACAGAATACCGATGAACGAGAAATGTTTTCGTGACGCCATTTGCAACCGCGAATTTAAGCGGGCTCGTTCAGAGTGGAGTGGCGAAACGAAAACAAATCTTCCTCTTGTGTTATCGCGAGGTGGGCTCGTTCTAGCCATATCTAACATGTCACAAGCTCCACCCATCCACCAAACTCTCTCTGTATAAACGGCTCTGACTGGAATAATTTGGATCTTGTGTCCAGAATGGCATGTCGGGCTTGTCGCTGCCTTCCGCATAGGCTGGAGTCGCAATTTCTTGTCGGACAGCACCTTCCTTTTAAGCTCGAGGTGCCATTGTCTCCGAATATTGCTGGCAGTATTTTGAGTTCCCCGCGTTTTTAAAGTATCACGGTACCGTTGACTCAAAAAAAATAGTATTCAGAGTACAAGGACTATCTGTCCTTGTACTCTGAATACTAAATTCCTTATGAGAAACAGATTAGTGCCGAGTCACATTCCACACTGTGGTGACTACATAGTTTGTCTCGCCTCACGTGCAAGCGAAGCCCAAGCTACAAGCACGAGCGTGTTGCCCCGGACGGTATTTGCACTGCACGAGCACGTGTGCTCGGCAGGCACGCCGAAAGCCCAGAGCTCACTCTTTGAGCTTCTGCTGCACTCATGCTTTAAAGAGATGCCGAACCGAAATTTGTGGCTCACAAACCAAGGCTGGAGCGATAGGCGGGACACCCAAAAACGTCACTCATACGGCGACATCTCCAAAGAATGGCCGTATTTTAGGAAAATAAATGCGGGATTGAACACGGCTGACGGGGCCGACGAGACGTGTGGCGTTGAGATTCTCACTCCCTCTCCTCTTCACTTCCTCACCTCGAGCAGGTGAACCGAACCGATGCCGCTTACCCACGTTCTCAGCTGTTGCAGGAGAATCGTGATGTCACATTCCTCGCTCGATCGCACCTCACCAAATATACGGCCTTTCGTTGGAGATATCGGTGTACGAGTGATGTTTTGGAGTTCGTAGCATTTCGTTCAACGCTTCTGCGGCCTTATGTTGCGGAATCCAAATTTTAATTCATCCCTCTAAGTAAAACGAGACGTAGCGATGCATTCAATGTGACTGTAGTCGGAGAGCATGTACCACACACAACGCAGATCGTCATCTCATTTCGTTTGCAACGTGGACAAACGTTCATGGCCTCTTTCCGACCCCTCTTTCAGGCCGACAGGTTCGTGAGCAGGTTCCACGAAGAGCGAAAGATGAAGCTGAGGTATGTTCTCGTCATCTTTTTTTATTGCCTCATTATTTATTGCTCTATTATTCGTTGAATGGGGGTGGTGAACAGCAACAGGCGCGGTGCCTTACGCTACCAGTACCGTCCTGGGAATGCTGCTCGATACTTGACGCATACAGACCACTGGAAGGATTGGCGACTGCCTCGCTTCTCACTTTCTTGTTATCGGCTTTCCTTGCTGACTGTTTATGCTATCATCTACCGTATTCATTTGATTCTAAAGCACACCCATCTTTGCGAAAAATATACCTAAAAACTGCTTGGACGTTAGGATTGGACATGAAACTGAAATCGTGGGCATGTTAGATTTATTATTTGTGGGCATAAAAACCGAGTGTGCATCAGAATCGGGGGCGCATTTGAATCGGGTAACTACGGTTGTGATCTGTCTCACTGACGGTGTCTGCTAACATGTAATGATCCACATAATCCTGGGTCATTAGAAGGAGGGCGTATTCCGCAAATACCCGCTCGGACCGTATAATAACTTAAATTAGACGTTCGTTACACGTCATCTTTTCTGTCTCCTCTCTTGGGGCTTGTAGTGTTAGCCAATTTCTTTGCCGACGTGTTCAGCAACTGAGAACGTGGAGTTTGGTGGCCAAGTCAAGTATGGTGGCACCTACATCTCTAATCAAATTTATTATAGTTACACTCCTGTCATAGCTGTACTTCCTTTGATTATTATCTTAATTTACAGAAAACATTGTCTATTATCACCTGTGGTAGCTTTAATCGGATTAACTCAATTTATTGGTGAATCCAGTAAATACTCAAAAGGCGGCTTTACTTTTTCGGCATCCTAAGAAGCTACATTGATGCTCATAATATTCTGTGCAGAAATGTCGGCTCTTTTGCGATGAAGGCCGTCGGTTTTGAAACGACGGTAGTTGACTTTGTGTTCTTCCTAAGCACTGGACAAACCATCTATACAAGTTTTTCTAAGATTTTTGCAAGGAGACTGAATTTTAAAGAAAGTGCACTCACTCACCACTCCCCAGTTGTATTTAAAACCTGCTTGCTCTTTTCCGTCACCAGTTTTATTCAGTTTTCTGCTGATCGGCAGTCTGGCTATATTTGTCGAAATTTTCTTTCAGAGTGATCATGCATGCATAGTCGACCGTGCAGTGCAATACTAAAGCTAATTGCAAATTGGATTTGTGTTCTTGCTTCAGCTTACTGCTGGACAGCGAGCAGTGGACAAGAGTGGACATTCCTCCCGAGTTCCAGAACATGGTCAATCACGTGGTGGACAAAGGTAAGGCTGAAGTGACAGACGTCACTGAAGTGGACGGTATCGGGATCAACAATTGGTTTGACAGAACCTAAAATTTTAATCAAATTGCTGCAAAAGCATTATAAGCAGTCTTGGGTAGTAACGCGTTACTAGTAACGCGTTACTGTAACTTTGTTACTTTTTTTGTAACTTGTAACTGTAACGAGTTACTTTTTAAAAATGTAACTTGTAACTGTAGTTCTATTACTTTTTTCTGAAGTAACGATGAAAGTAACGACGTTACTTTTGTCGTTATTTTCCAGTGTTTTATGAATAATATATCACTGAACGAGGTGCAATTTAGCCATTCCTTGCACTTTCCAAATCGTCTATTCCGACATTTCGAGTGTCAAGTTGGCCTTGCACAAAGTTGTGAATACGTTCTTTCTCGCGAGTCACTACCCGAATATAGCCACGTGTAGATTTTATAAAAAAATATCTGGTTATGTTTACGCACGCGCTTGTACTTTGTGCCTCAACACTTACATCTTAGTGTCTTGAAGCACTACCTATGTTGTGGTTTTTCTTTTTTCTGTGCAAGCGCTTTTTAATCGGCTGAATCCACCGTAAAAAACAATACACGTGAAGGGTACTGCGCATGTCTCGTATTTTGATTAGCTCCACTACGCCGCACTGCGCTTGTTTCGTATTTTGATTTGCGCCACTACTCTGGCGTAGAAACTTTCAAACACTAACTTTGAGAAGCGACTGCTACTAAGTTACAATATGAAGTAAAAAGCGTACTTTTTAATTTTATGCCATAAAACGTTCTGAAGGGCGTTTTCTAGTTTTTTTTCTAATTTTTTGTGTTATAGAAAAGTAACTGAAAAGTAACGTCGTTACTTTTTAAAAGTAACTGTAACTGTAACGAGTTACTCTTTTGTTGCAGTAACTGTAACGGTAACTTCGCTACTTTTTTCTGAAAGTAACTGTAACTGTAACGAATTACTTTTTAAAAGTAACTTACCCATGACTGATTATAAGCAGTATGTGGTACTGCATCAATGAATAGCACTACAGAACCCCTTTATTTTAAAATCAATTTTTTTTTATTATTTGTTTTACTACAATGTTATTTTAGCTATATATGATGTTTTATGTTTATTTTTACATCAAGTACAACACACAGGGTACTGGTGGCTTATGGAAAGAACTGTCGCAAGGACAGCTTTTTTAATTACATAAAGGCTCGTATCAATAGTAGAAGCATCTCTAGCTTTCTTCAAAATATCCACATCTTTGTTATATCTGTCTTCACTATACATATATATATACAGTATATACATATATAGAGAGAGAAAAAACGAGAAGTTCTTGTGCACTATATCGTATAATCAATCAATCACTTTCAATTACAATTTTCTGTATCTTTTAGTGCAGAAAGGCCATTTCTCAATAATTACCAGTCAATTACTTCCTCTGACCTATATATCATTGCTATACCACTATTGCTAGCTTTTTTTAAAACTGCTATCCTTTCCATCTTGCCATAAAAAAAAAAGAAGTGTGAATATTGGAGGTTGATACGACAGACAAACGTAGGGCCCTTGGCACACCCCGAAATACCGAGTATATTATTCTAATCTACCTGAGGTTTATCTCGGTCACACTGCACCTAGATCACAGTAAAGGCTTGTTTACACACTTGTAACCGAGTACAACCGAGAAAGACAAGACCGGTCTTGAAGCCTCTTGCGACATCTTAGGACCGAATGCGATGCTGTGGAGCTGGCCCTGAGACATCGCAAGAGTCTTAAAAACCGGTCTTGTCTCTCTCCGTCTTACTCGGTTGCAAGTGTGTGAACTGCGCTTAAGCCTCCATCAGATTGCAGGCACGTCGATCGGGGTTTGCGGGTTTGCACGTCGGTCGCGACCATGCAGACCCGCTAACCTGGCATCCAAGGGCTTAAGCGCACTTTGCCTTGGAGTCACCGATTCAACCGTCGACCATTCAACGTCATTGTCTTTTACTGTCATATTGTCTCCTGCAGTTGGGCTGCCAGGACCATTTTTATCTTCCGACAGACACCATTCTATAGCTTATGCAAAGTTGTTCTGGCGTTGCTCGCCGAAGAGCAGACGACGGCAATCTCGACGCTTTTTCGTCTGCTCTTTGCCTCGCAGACGTCCTGGTTCTCCCAGAGAAGGAACTGTTGAGGGGGGACAGCAGCAAGGGCAAGCCCAAGGGTTACCTGGAAATAAACTCTGAGAAGTACGGGATAGCTGGGTGAGTTGCCCCTCTCGGGCAGAAGGTTTGAAATAGGAGCATGGTACAGTGATGTCTCGTTAATAGGGACACCCTGCTATGTTGACAACATTTTCGGGGATGAACTGGATAAATACATCCATTTTTGTCTAAAAAATATAGACAACTCAGATTATACACGCCTTGTTTGGGGGAGCAAAGGTGCCCATGTTAACAAGACACCACTGTATTGAGTAGCTGGCACTGTAAAGTCAGCGCCACCATGTCCGTCGAATTTCCCATTTACCAATGTCATAATTTCATAGACACTTTCACCATCAATTGCTTCAAAATGCAGCATGCATTATCTCTCTCTTCACATATTAGAGAAGAAGGTTTGGCCAGTTTAGGGCAAAGTACCGTTTCCCTCGACCGACGCTCCGCAAACAGAACTCGATTTCAAGAGGCGTGATTTGAGCGACATGGTGCAATTTTTTTATGGCTTGACGCCTTGTTCCTCTTTCATGTTGTGCGAGGCAACTTTCTAACATGGAAAAAGAGCTAACCGATTAATGTTTAGAGTGCTGAAACTTGCGTTCATAAAACGAGCACTCTAAATGTCTCATCCGCACTTCGTAACTGGAGTGACCTGCACCTCGTACTAACTGGGGCAAGTTATGCAACTGCATCACCGGAGTGATACATGCGGTTCTGCAGCTTTTTGAATGTGCCATGGACACCTGCTTTCAGGAGTGCGGTGATGATGCTCAAGATGGTCCTGGAGTACTGCCAGTGTGCCAAGGACATCCCCTTCGTGGCTCTCAACCTGCTCTCAAAGCTCCAGGAACTCCTCAGGGTTAGTTGGCCTCCCGAACGGGCACACCCTTTGGTGGCAGACGACGCCCTGTCTGTATGGAGAGCGTCCGGGGTATCGACTTGGTCGCCGTATCCTCCGGTGGGGTCAAAACACAGCCCGAAAGTTTTTCCGGAGGAGCTCCTTGGCGAGCTAAATTTGTGAGAGTGTGCAGTACTATAATTATATATTTGAACGTGAATTGATTGTTGTATTCTCGTCTAACGAGCAACATGGTTTGTTGTACGTCTTGTGAAGCAACAAACAGGAAAGTGGGTGTAAACACTAATGAGAGAAGGGGCAACACAAAAAAACTTTGAGGCTGGTGTTCACGTTGACTTGATCTCTACTGCAACAGCTTTTGCAGACTCCCTTCCGTTTAAACTTTTACACCAACCTGTTGTTTGCCATCTTCCGTAATGTGGGCCTTTCCAGCTACCAGACTGGAATGTGAATGCAGACGAGCATAAGCATTGTGCTAATTGTGCTATCGGACTTTTGCTAATAATGTTCTCCTGCAATGGAGCTTCACGAGATGTGTGTTTTTCACGAAACCTCGGATTGGTCGGTGCTGGTTCTCGCTACTTGTCGGTGTATTAATAAGACAACGACTTTGGTCAACATTAGAGCGACCTCCAGACTAGCTCATTCTGGGAGAGAGGTGTTTTACAGTCCGATGAAGGACGCATGGCCGACGAGCATATTTTCAGTTTCTTCCTAATGCCGAAGCTTTGTGTCGTTGCAGAACTTCAACTCTCGGACGTCCCAGCTTGTCCTCGGAGCAGGGGCGTTGCAGCTGGTCGGACTCAAGACCATCACGGCCAGCGTGCTTGGTGAGTAGGTCGAAGCCGTGGACAAATGTCTTTAACAAGGCCGACAAGTTTTATGTCCTAAAAATGTGCTTGCGAGAGCCCCGTTGGTTGGGAGCCCGATCGCAACAACAAGTTCAGATATTCTTCCAAAGACACAGTTCCAAGTACGAACCAGGGTGTCATTACAGCACTCACGGCGCGGTGTCTACAGCTGCTGCTCTTCTTCCTGCCCAAAGTGAAGACGCACTTCGAAGTTCACCTCACGACGCGTCGGGAGATGGCCAAGCACTTTGACCAGATACACAAGGTAAGAGCTCCTTTGGCAAAGACCGCTCCAATCGGGGGATTGGCGGCCGAGCGCGTCGGCGTACCGCAGCCCGGAACATGTGGAGCAGAAGCTTGCCGGGTGATTGAACCCGAGGATCCTGGTATTTAATCCCCACTTCAGCCCGTTTCAATCGGGATTAGCATGTCGGTCGCTCATTGCCACTGCGCGATGCACGTTGAAGACCGCCGGTTAGCGGCGGTAGTACTGCTTTGGCGAAATTTTTTATCCGCAGCGGACACCGCGGACGCCCGCTGGGACTGGTTAACTTCCTGCTGGCTAAACAAATGCACAACGCAATTATTACTGCTGTTTGCAATCTTTCTGTTAGTTGACTTTCTTGTTGAGAAATATCTGGTGGTGCATTTATAAATAGAAATTGAGAACGATCATTCGAGGTGTGCTGCGATCGACAGTGGTTGCTGCGGCATTGTGGAAAGGCGTGTTGAAGGAGATTTGCCTTTTGCCAGTGTGCTGTACAATGTTTGTAACGGGCTCTTTGCTTCCAGTGGAATTGATATAGGAGATGTTTAATGTGTTAAAAGACAGAAACGCTTTATTTTTTATCTTTTTTTTTTTGCTGATACGCTTTTTTAGAGCAGGGGTGCCTGTGAACGCATATGCAGTGGAAGAAGCAAAAGTATGTACGAGAGCTGTTCTGTAGAGGCGCGGAGCGCTCCTGCAGAACAGCTCGCAGATTTGTATTTATATTTTGTATTGTATTGTATCGAGTATTATGTAGCTAGTTGCAAGGCACTCGATGCAAGGAATTTTACAAAACATCCAAGAAGTACTTTATGTTCTGCTGCCTGAATCTTATATTCATTCACAACACTTTTTTTTTTTTTTTTTTTTGTGGTTGACGTGAATTAGAATTATTTAGCAAGCTCCTGTTGCCGTCTGCTGAAACATTGCGAATTAGTCATTTCCTTTCGACAATCCTCTCTCCAATTTTCTCGCAGGAATATGCCGAACACGTGAGCGAAATCTTCAGCAAGCTGGCCCACATCGTGGGATCGGTGATGGACGCACAACTCAACAATGTATGTCTGAGCTTTGCACACAGCTCTCGCGAAAGGAGAGTCACGTGGTTGTGTCGGCAGCGTGACGTTGCAAAGGTCCAGTTTAAAAACAATGCAACATTTAGCTTGTACTTGCGTTGCCCCATAATCTCGGAATGAAACGCCGCCGAAGGCAGGCATGTCGGTAGAGTGCATGCCTAAAGAACGAACAAAAGGGCGGACGGGACGACTTTCTTTTCGACTCAATGCGTCTCGCTGGGTTGCAGAACTGTTTTAAAATCAAGAACCTCCCTTGGCAAAAGGTTAAGAAAATATATTTGCTAGTATCAACCTTGAATTTGGAAGACTCAGGCCGTACCGACAATTAAGACAAAGAAGGAACGGCACGGCACCCCTCTAATGACCCTCCTTTCCGACGGTCCGAAGATGGTTGGAAGTGCAGCGGCGTGCATTCACAACCACAGCGCCGCGCCGACCGTACAAAAAAGCTTGGCTTGTACGAAGGTGCAGCTTCTGCGCTGCGCAAGTTTGTCTGCCCCTTGCATAAGTGTTGCAGTGATGCCGGGTAGTGGGTAGATGTTGATACTAGCTGCCTCGAGGTCTACCCACTATCCCTCTGATCGGAGCCAATCTGAGCTCGGTGTTTCGCATCGCTGCAACCCCCGTGCACAAAGCAGACGAACTTGCACTCTGCATAGACTGGGAAATGTGGTACTATCGGCTCAAAATTAATTTCTCGCACCAACTGTGTGTTGTGTGCCAACTCTGTCTGTGTGTTGCACCAGCACCTAGAATAACCGAGGCCTGCGAATGAACCCCTCTTCCTCCATGGAACGTCGTCGCAATCAAACGGCATGGACTCGGCAGTAGACCCTTTGCAAAAAAGCCCGCGTGTGCCACGCGATGAATCATGGGAGTTCTCAGTACACTTTTCCCATCGTCTTTCCTCCCGCTATCAGGCGCAGGTCACCAAGGCAACACCGCCCCAGCAGCCGAGCTGGACGCGCGCGCAGAAATGGGGGAGAGGGTATTTCTTTGGCTAGATTATGAGGCTGCCCCTTTCTCGTCCCTCTTCTTTGACCCGGCTCTGTCGTTTGCTACATCAATGCTTTGTCGAACCTAGTCGAACCCTGCCACAGTTACGGTGCAAAGTAAGGAGATTTAATGACACTGCTAGGTGCAAGGGTAAGTTACGACGCATTACGTATTCAAATAAGCTTGCCCATCGCAATGCGTTTACGCTGCTGCAGGTATAGTTTTGGTTTAGCATTATGCGATAGTGCACCGCAGTTTGTAGCGGATGCCCACAGAAAGCACTAATCACAACCACCGACCGTCCCTACCCTTTCAGGATCGCGAAGCAACCACAACAGCCTACACTTCCAAAAATCACGTGCTCACCCAGGCGAAAAAAATAGAGTGGGCGTCCGATTATTTGTGGCAGCGTAAATGCATCGCAACAGGTGAAGCTGTTCACTTCATTTGGATACGTAATGTGTCGTAACTTACCTTCACGTCTTGCAGTGTGACGGAATCCACTTATTCTGCACCGCAACCCTGGCAGGGTTCAACTAGGTTCGACAAAGCATTTGTCAGCAGACGGCGGAGCCGGGTACAAAGGAGAGGGTTGAGAAAGGGGCAGCTTCACAAGCTAGTCAACACGATACCCTCTACCCCGTTTCCGAGCAGTGTTGCCTTGGTAACCTGTGCCTGCTCCCGTATGTCACGTGGTTGTGAAAGGAGACGACAGGAGGAGCGTACCGAGGACTCCCATAATTTGTCGCACCGCGCCAGGCGTCCTTCAATGCATCGATTGGACCGAGACTCAGCCAAACGGGCAACGTCGACACGATGCAAATCTAAACGCGACATCGTCGAAATTCGGGTGCATGGGCTTTGATTATTCTAGGTGGTGTCGGTGGCGCGCGAGCGACCCGGAATGTGTCCGCATTCCGGAATGCGAACGCATTCTGGAATCAATCTAAAGTCAATCCGGAATGTGTTCGTGATCGCAGTGGGAGGTGAAGGCGCCCGTGCCGTCCCCAGCCTTCCGTGCGGTGGCCAAGCACCTGAGCAAGTTTCATGGAGCCATCGCGGAGGTGCTCTCCCCTTCGGACGTGGTGATGCTCCTGGGCTGGGTGCACGCGGCCTTTACCCAGAGCCTCAGAGCTCACCTCACCCGGCTGGCCGTGGCCAAGGACGGGGGACCCCAGCACGGGTCGGTCACCCTTCAAGCTTCAGTGTGTTGCACGATGTTATCTAGTGCGAAAGCGAGCGTGCCGCCGTGATGCCTGGAACGCATCTTTGATCGGCGTGTTTACCGTCCCTCCCGCCCACGCATTGAAAACAGCCTTGTGATGGCAAACGTACGATGTCACAAAAGCGCAAGCGTCGTGCCGTTGGACGTCGCGATTCCGCCAATCCACCATTTCAGACGTAACTGGCACCGCCCGGCAAAAGACAAGGTTCAGGGATCTTGAGGACAACACGACGTGCGAATTAGGAAGACTTAAGAAGTGTCTTGGAACAAATTTGGGGGCAAAAAGACGAGCCACAGAGAAACGAGGGATTCTTGGGGGAATCCAATCTAGGTCACCACAGCTTAAAAGAGTTGGCAGGACATCGCTTCCTCGGTTCGCATATTTTCGTACCATAACTTCCCAAACCTGTGGTTTTTAGGAACGGTCCATTGGTCGTAGAAGGTATGGGAAAATCCTAGACGAGTGTGTTGCCGCCGCACCGGCGTCCCAGCTCCTGCTAACTGAATTGTCCGCAGACGGTCAAGCTGGAGAGCTTGACAGTCGTCGGGCGTAAATCGAGGGACCACATTTGTGCACGCAATAAACACACCAGTCGAAGACGCAGTACAGGCACCGCGGCGTTGCCAATAAATCCAGTAGCTACCGCTTCGGCGAAAGTATACAGACACAAAAAAAACGTCCCCACGAAATGTTTGGTTTCCCGTGCTTCCAGCCTGGTGACCCAGGAGCTGACCTTCTACGTGGAGAACCTCAAGAGCTTGGGCGTGCCCGTGACCTTCGACGACCTCTGGCAGGCCAGGTGACGACCTCTGGTGGGACAAGGAACAAAGGAAGGGGGAGGAGGAGCGTCCTGGAAGGAGGGGGAGACCCGCTCGCCTGCCCGTCCCATCCACCCCACTCCCATTTTGTAAATTTTATACATAAAGAAAAGGTGTCGGCGGTATATTTTACGAACGAGACAGAGAGACACTGTGTCTGAGTTGTTTCCTCCGTCGTCGGGTCGACGTCGATCCGGTTCCTTCGAAAGTCGTGCCTCGCGGAACAGTCGCTCGCGATGGGTGGAGTTCGGCGGCGCGAGCCGACGAAAACGGTGGCTATGCTTGGCGTCGACTATTCCGTGCTGCGTCGTCCAGACTGATAAGGTGAGAAAGGCGGGAAGGAGCTTTGGTTGTCTCACCTTCAGCACTAGCTTCCTAGCTTCGGCATCTTGTGCGCTTCGAGCGAGCATGTGCAGCCAAAGCATGGTGGAAGGCGTGGAGCATGTGCTGGAGGCCGAGAGTTTGAAATGTGCTTCCTTCTTATTCTGTCGGCGACTAGAGTGCAGCTTCCACGGTGCTGCGGCCGGACATCGCTACGACGATTGAACCAACAAGGCTTGGTGTCGAAGTCCCCGTCGAGCAGTCTTAACTATGTGGTTAGGCAGACCCTCTGGTGCACTTCCTTCGATACAGCTGCCGTCTTTGAAAGTGGCCTTGCTGCGCAGGCATGGAGAAATCGAGCTAAAGCACCAAAGGAGGCAATGGGTCCACTTCGAATGTGGAACAGATGGAGAGTGCTTATACTCTGCGACAACTTTTCTTGGCAATGCAGTGGAAGGTACAGGCCCGCGTCCCCTCTCCAATTTTGAGTGTGCGCGGGCTCTCCTCCTCTCCCCGGAAATGGGTGAGGAGGAGAGCCTGCGTACACTCAAAATGGGAGAGGGGACGCGGGCCTGTACCTTCCACTGCATTGCCAAGAAAAGTTGTCGCGGAGTATAGTCACTTCGACCATGTCAGTGATTAATGAAACAAAAAATAAGCGCCTGCTGCAACTAAGAATGCTCAATTCAAATCAGCCTGCACAGCCGGTCTCCCATGCGTGTGGGGTACGTGATGTACAAGACGAGTCGAAGTGATTGATGGCCGTTTGAAGGGATCACATAAATCTGTTTCTGAATGTATCGAGCCAAGAGTTTGCATGGAGTTGGCTGAAGAATGAAAATTTTGCGGAACAAACTTAAGGCTCCGTTAAGGCATGCAAGACGACAACGGGCGCCTCCCTTGACCTTGGCAATAGCAGACAATATTTCCGAGCCAGAAGCAATGCGGCCTTTTATTCCGCACAAACTGTCGGAGCACGATTATTCTCTTCTACCAATAAAGCATAAAAAATGTAGATTAAACGAAACAAATGTTGCCTCGTTTTTTTTTTTTTTACAGCGGAGCTGTTAAGGGCTAGGTTCCCCAGGATCGTGTCTGTGTATGTCGACACAAACCTACCTGGACAGCTATTGCCATTTATAAGCGACGGCGGCAAGCACACAACCGGTATGGTTTCCGCCGTCGCTCGTAGATTGTGCCAACCTTTCCAGCTATAATAGAAGAATGGATAGTTGGGCGCGTTGGTGGGAATTCATCGTGGGAAACAGCGCGAAAAACAGACGACGACAAAGAAGAAGCACACAGTGTATCGAGTACAGCTCCGCTGGTATTCCTTCTTCACGAGAGTGGAAAGGCTGAAAATTTTTTTCAATAATTATTTTTGGTCTGCTTTGCACTCTGGTTGTTACTGCGTCTCTTTTCTCCAACTTTCAACCGTGCCGTTCTGTGTTGCAAGCCATCTTCATGGTGCGCTCAGCTCGCAGTGAGCAAGTGAAGGTTGCTCTCTAGTATGGGGAGTGCCAGAGGACAAAAGAAGTCCGCCGACGTTTTTGGGCGGAGTTTCGGTGGCGAGCTCCAGGCTCTTCTCCAATTCTACACTGGGTGAGGCACTTTAATGGGGAGGGAAACATCCAAAACAAGCCGCCGACAAAAGAGGTGTTCTCACCGAAGCCAACGCCGAAAAATGCGGTACTCGGCGTCTTCACGGCCGACCCACACCTGTCAACGCGCAGAGCACTGCGGACATAAGTTGACTGTTGCTCAAATTGGTTAGCACAAGCCCGCTGTAGGTAGGGATTTCAAGCTTTTTTTATTTCTAACTGCTTACTCAGGGAAGTTTGTTCAGTGAGAATGTTGCACCCTTAATGCACGTTCGTCGGCCTCCTCTGTGCAAAATTTTAGCTGGATATGTTTAGAAAATGTATTTTAGCTGGATATGAAAGAAAACGCCCTGTATTTTGCTCGGACCAACTTGAAATCCCAGGTTAAAACGGAGATCATGCTTACTATGGAAAAGTTTTATCATGCTTTGCGGCAAATTGGCTGTATCGGGACAGTTTTGAATTATGTGGTTACCACAGGCTAAATCGTCCTGCCAAGTTTGCTGTGGTCGGCAGATAAGCCATAATTTATGTGCTGACCACAGCAATCTTGGCAGAGCTATTCAGTCTAGTTTAAGAAGCTATAGTTAATCTGCCAAATTGTATGCAGCACCATCAAAGGCACAGGCATAATTGTAAAACGTCATCAGAGGTGCGAGTGTATATTCAAAGCACCATCAAATGTGCAAGCTCCGCAAATATCTTTGCTCGCGTGTCCACTCGCTAAAGGAAAGCCCATTCTAAGGCTGCATGTTATCAGTCACACTTACCACAGCACTGCACAAAACTCTTAAGAGGAATTGCAACAGAATACTGGGCAGTAAAACAACAGCCTAAGCTACAACAAACGCGAGCTAGCTCATGCTCCTGGCTTTGAGACATGCATTTTTAGCGCGAGTGCCCGTTTTGCAAAGGAATGCTTCGAAGCAGTGACCTCGAGCTCTCGTGCTCGTGGCATTTGCCACTGCAGTCTCTGCTTAAGGGTGAACAAAGCATACCATCAGCTGCAACATGAAATTACCATTTTCACGGACATTCCGTAAACGAAACGTTCAACACCCAACGTAACAAAGCAACATACAAAAACAGACAAGTGAAAGTACACACAGTGCTCGTCCCGTGTACTCCTTTCGCTTGGCTTCACATTTTTCTGCGCTGTTTTGTTATCGTTAGTCACAAACTAAAGTCGCCACTTTAATTCCACCCACATCGCCACTTGGATCGGCAAGAGCCAACCACGCGTCCACCATTTTCAAAACACTACACGTCCAAGGCTTCCAGCGCTCGTCAACGCAGACTCCAGTTTTAATCTCCCTCTTGCGAACGTCGGCTAAAACGAAAAGTAAATCAACACAGAATCGGCCACAAGTTTAGCATGACGGCAGCGAGTGACCTCTGTTGTCGAAGTCCCGTGGCAACCACAAACGGCGAGAAACAGTTTGGCAACGACGTTTCAGAGGGGTGCGGCGCCGGCGTCCCCCGGCACCATCTGCACCAGGTGTCTGGTCATGAAGTAGGCCATGATCGGCTGCCAGGCACAGATGCCCAGCAGGAGGTACTGGCCCCGGCGAGAGTGGTGCCCGTACTGGTCCGATGACGGCCCGGCCAGCAACGTGATCCGCAACGTCCGTAGCTGCAAGGGTCCGTGGAGCGTTGGACGGAGAACTTCAAGGGCACGAAGCGATCGCTTTTTAAGTTTATCCCGTGCGACGTTCAAGCATGATTTTAATCGGAAGGTTTGTGCCATGCAACATCACATGGTGTCCCGTGATCGCATGGCGTCGCGGTGTCCAAAGTCGTCTAAACGCTATTTATGAGAAACGGTCGCTTATAACATTGTCAGAATTATTTCAGCTCTACAATACATTAATTGCACGTAAATTTTTTTTTTAAATACATTTATACGCACGTTAGGGTTGTCCAACAAGTTTTTCCAGCATACCCAAATGTTGATCAGTAATGAAAGACCACAACGCTCTCGGCAAAGTTGCAAACATAAATGTCCGAACCACCCTACAAATAAGCCCATAAGAGCTGCCTCTATAAATGCTATGTGCTTAAAAAGGATGACTGCTCCCCGACCTGTTGTTGCAAGGTCTTGTGGATATAGTCGAACAAAGAGTGCGGTGCAGAAGAAACAAGGCGACGCCCCTTCTGCTGAGGCCGAACTCACCAGGAATACGTCCAGCGTTAGGCACGTGTACCCTAGGGCTCCCATGTAGCCAACAGAAAACAGGATCATGCTCGCCACCAGTGACGAGATCATGCTGCAACCGAGAAGAAAAGACAATGTTTGGTGGGGAAGCAGCATCCACTTCCTTGCCATACGTACCGTAATTACAAGAATGTGACGCAAGAACTTTCCGAAAATTTTTTGTGCTTTATAGTTGACCCGCGGGTAATGTCCGAATAGAATTGTTTCCCCGACATTATTGTTCACTCTACGACGCCTTTTGATTTGTTTGCGAATGCGTTAGACCACTACTTTGGCTCAGGGGCGGATTTAGAGGGGAGGTCCGGATGTCCTGACACCCCTCTTGATTTCTGCATGTGTAAAATTTAGGGCGTGAAACGAGGGAGAGGGTTCCTAAACAAATGGTACGCTGACCAACACCTGACCCCCCCCCCCCCCTCAGGAAATTCCTGCATCCGCCCCTGCTTTGGCTTACTAATATATCCCTTTTTTTTGTATGTATGTGGTGCATTGTGTATTATGTTGCATCATGATTCATATATGTAAACTTATCTTGTCAGTTTGATTGTGTTCCCCCTTAATTTGTGTAATTTGTTCTACCTTTCTCTTTGTGCTTAAACTGCACCACCCACTAACGTGTACACATTTTTTTTTTAATCGGAGACGGCGGACAAAAAAGGGGGCAAACACAAAACGTTGAGATGTTTCGTGTTTGTCACTTTTTCGTCCGCCGTCTCTGTTTTTTTTAAAGAAATGTGTAACATGAACCAGCTCGCCTGTATGCTCACTCTATCTTCAACTAATGTATGACCTTCATGACTTAGTAACTACGCTACAAAAGTTCTAAATGCAACTGGCAGCACTACTAAATAAATATTTAAATGGTTAAGGCATTAACCTCACCAGTGCCGCCATTCTGAAGTAACAAACTTTCTGGGTTCCCAAGGAGTCTTATGCTAGAAACATAAACCTCTCGACACTCGAAATCAGAATCGTGAAATCCAAATCCATCAAAACCGGCCATTTGTGCAATTCTATTGGTGTCAGGCTCCATTGTTGACCTTGGGTGACTCAACCAGCTGAACGGTTTCCAAGTGTTAAAGCTCCGGCTTCCAGTGTGGGGTTTTGTTTTGGAACTTCGACAGCTTTCTTTCCTGCCGGGCATTCTAACCGAACCGAATGGAATACCGTACAGGTACTTTATTATTCCTCAGTTAGCCTCGCATTACATTTGTTCTTTTCTTTTTTTTCCTACGAGGCAATACTGCGCTAGAATCAAGTAAATACAGTAACTGAAGTACTCAGAGTGGCCCGCGTACAGAAACCAAGTGACAGTGTCTTGTCAACTTTACACTGACTGCTTTAACCAACACAACAACTGCAGCACTGCAATTATGTCATAAATACCTGACAAACTTGTAGCTGCTGAAGGCGATGATGTCCAGCACCCTGAGGCTGCTGTTGATGTTGAGGATGTAGGTGGCCAGCCATATGGCCAGCACCTCCAGGACCAGCCACATCAGGGCCGAACTTGCCTGCATTCCCAGCTGCTCCGGCGTGAACCTGGATTGGTCGGGGAACGTTCAGCAATCGACGAGAACACCAGAGGGTGCTGCACTTGCTTGGTGTCACGGGCCTGCCCCGCCTGCTTGGTGTCTCTAGGAGTGCTACCACGATAACTCACAGAAGACTTCATCTAGGATTGCGACATAGTGAAAACTTTTGTCGGAGCTGGGTCGAGAGTACTTCATTCACCCTTGTGGGTTTACACAAAATCAGTTTAAAACTACATTTCATACAAAAAAAAAAGGTGTCTTAAAAAAGAAAGTGAAACACAGAGGTGTAGCACCAGGAAAGTCAATCGTTGCATTAAATTGTGCTAAATTTAGAGAGACTCCCGAGCTCTGAACAGCTCAGAAAGTAAGCACCTGGCGAAGCTCGAAGCACATTTTGTGTCTTCCAACTTTATTCGTGGCATTTAGATACAATTAATTTTTACATCCAAGACAGGCCCCCCGACCTGACATGATGGCCACTTGAAAATCAGCACATGTGCCTTGCAGTAATTTTGAATGACCCAAAAATGGAAACAAAAACCCATTCGTACATATAGAAAGAAATGCTTCAATTTGCAGTTCGGAGTAAGTTACGGCAAATGTACAAAAATTCCGCGAGGAATGTTTTGCAATTTCTTTCCGCAAAATACCTGCCCAAGTTGGGGTTTTCCTTGAGTGAGTTTTAGCGAGCCGCTATGCCATTAAGATCGTGAAATGCTGAGGCACGGACAGACTCTTGGCATGATGCCTCCCATTTCATTATTGCTATTTCCCAGGCACTTCTAAAAATAATAATGACAGAACGAAAACCAGGCACTCACTTGTCCTTCAGGCCCAACAGGTAGCCAGAAATAAGCACGTAAGTTACGAACGCCATACCTGGAGAGAAAGAAATAAAAACATTCTTAGTTTGGCCCACTGCAGACAAAAAACGGTTGCTGCTGGCGAGTCTAGAAGCCCCTACGTCCAGAGGCCGACGGCTTCCGCAAATTGTGCCCTCATCGCCCCAGCCGCCGAAACTTCCACGTAACAATGCCTCCATACCCCAGAAACAAGCTCGATTTCAAACCAGATTGCACAACAAGGAGTAACCACTCACTGGGGATGTAGAGGTCTGGGGCGTTCACGTCGAATCGTGGGGGCAGGGGTTCATTTTGGTCGTACTTAACAGCCCAGTCCTACAAACAGAAACAAAAGACAACGATGGAGTGGGCCTCGAAGACGTTGGAGTGAGCAAACGCTCGATTGTAATGACATCCCCTCCTTACCGAATGGCTGAAGGGAAAAAAGAGGAGTGCCAGCTTCTTGCAGACGTAGGCGTTGTCCACGGCAAAGTAGTACTTCAGCTTGGACCATGAGACATACTTCTCTAACTGTCAAAGAGGTGGGGGAAAAAATATTGAAAAGCTTGAGCAGTGATTGTGGCAACGATCAGGGTTAAGAAAGGGGAAAAATCCTGAAGCCCCTTTCTGCATCCAAAACAGCCCCCCCCCACTCTTTCGCCTACCTAAAATAATTCGGCCAGTACGCGTTAACCCCACGACGGGAGAGCGAGAATAAGAGGCATTCATGCAGCCCCATTTGGCATTTTCGTCTGACCCGGTTTGACGACGAAATTACACAACCTGAACAAGTGAACTCTCGCTGCTGGTTGCCCCAGTCTCGGAATGAACAACTTTAGACAAACCGACTCAAAAAAAAAGAAACCGGGTCGTGCAAAAAAGAAGAGAATGAAGAAGAAAAAATTGCCTCGCTTAGACATTTTGTCAAATGCAATGAACGTGGAATAGTACTTGATGGGGCTTTTACCTCTCTTTTTATTCCTGATGCACCTCTTCGTTAGGGGCATTGCATCATTTCCTTCGAAATGCTACCACGCTAAACAATCCGACCGTGAAATGCCTCCGTGCCTACCACCACTAACACGCAGTTACCATTCCTACAAACCATAGAAAGAGATTCAGCATTGAGAAATATCAAACCACGAGAGAACCATTTCATTGCCTACCCTCTCGCACCGAGTCAAACCATGTGAGGGAGTGTCAGCCGTGTGCGAGAGCTTCAAAGCATAGGACAGGCTATCGGCAAGACTGCTAACTCTGTTACTGATGCTCTCTCCCACGGGCCTTGCTCACTGTTGTCAGACTATTGTGAGGAAGAAAGATTCGGAGAGCGTTCCCACACAAAGCTGCCACTTTAAAAGTGCTACCAGAGAAGACCTTCTTGCCTCTCACCTTTTCGTTCATCATGTCTTTCCCCTGGCCTGCGAGGGCGGAGCCGTACTGCATGGCCATGGCGGCCATGGGGTCGCTGAGTATTTGCTGCGGCTGGAAGCCAGAATTGGGAGGCGGAGCATAGCCAGGCCACGCCCCTGCGGCAACGGGGGAGAACACGCGTCAGGGGCTTTGGAAGACTCGTCGGAAAAAATCCAGAAGATTCCCCGTGCGTAGAAAAGGTGTTACCTGGACTCTTACAGGTTTGAGAAATGGGGTAGACAACACAAACATCAATGACAAAGGCAGCTTTTTCTGTGTTGACATGGAGGACGAGCAAATAACTAACTCTTTCTTTGACTTTCAAATAAAAAGAGGTTCAAATCGCAGTCAAGCCCGTTTTTTAGGTCTGAGGCTGTAAACCAAATGTTTTGTCCATTTCTTTTTCCTACTTAATTTTTGTTTTTTTTTTTGTTTGTGTAAGTGTTTTTTGAGCACGAAGGTTGACAGAAAAAGTACTATTTGCTATCAAAATTTAGAGGCACAAATTTCAGCATTCCTTAGTGCAGCACACCTGTACCTGGAATGCTGCACTTAAGCGCGAAACACATGTACGACGAAACCGTCCGATCCGACGTGCGGACTGCCGGAATGACCTTGGGGGGAGAGGGTGTTCGTAGCATCGGAGAGCGTTGAAAACCCTCGCCTCAGACCGTCGTATTGCGCGGTCGGACGTCGGATCGGAGGGTTTCGTCGTACATGTGTTTCGCGCTTTACTCTCTTCACAAGGCAGAGGCATAGTAAGCAACAAACATTGATTGCTACGTATTATTAATTAAAACATGCACTTATAGCCTTTGCACAACAGAGATGAAATAAGGAACTGACATTGTAATTATTACATCGCAATAATCATTATATGCACTGACAGCCTTATGATACAGATGTAATGAGTGACAAACATCACATCAATTATTATGCATCATTAGTCGTTATAGAGACTTGTAGCTCTCACACTGTAGGCAGAATGAGCAACAAGCTCGTCACCAAAGCTACGGAATACAATAATATCCAGGAGATGCAGTATATGAATCCATTCGGTGCATGCCCGTATGAAATAACACCGACCTAGCTATGGCGCCTGGGATGCCTCTTCGACCGACGCGTTTAGCATTCCCTCCTCCCCGCGCGCCAAAAGTGGCCCCAGGGTGGCACCAAAGGGCATCAAGGAAGACAGAGTGCCACGTCGTCGGATATCGCAATCCTGGCGCGTGCCCGGCACCGTAGAATTAACCGATTGGATGCGCCCGACAGAATGGACCGTTCCAAAGCAGGGCCCAGCGCCTACCTTGTCCTGGCGGCATGGCGTACTGGGGCGGCTGCTGCTGCTGCTGGTGGGCGCCCATGTAGCTGGTGTCCTCGAACAGCTGTGGGCCGGGCGCAGCCCCGGGGTACATGGGTGGGTACGACGGCATCTGCTGGGGAGGCCGCATCTGCTGCCGGTTGTGCGGCTGCATGCCCCCTGCACACGGGGCAACGACGTTAAAGGCCAAACTGCAAAATATTTTTGAACCACCCTATCCATTAACCGTGTATCTCCCACCGGTCTTATCTAGCTCCAAGAAGAAGCAAAATGAGTCCCTTCTGCGGTCAAGATAGCAACGGGAAAGGGGGAAATGGTAGGGGTGGCGAGAATTTTCACCCTGGTTGAAAAACATTTTGCAGTTCGGCCTTCAGAGGGAGTAACGGGGTAGTTCCTGATATGTACCATATTTTCCATTCTATAAGTCTTAAACCCAATATAACGGGTGTTTTCACAAACATAAAAGAAGCTAGGATATAAGTAGTGTTCCGTGTTTTCAGTAAATACCAGCAAACTGCGAAAATTAACCCCCGAACCGTTTTTCTCAAAATCGGGAAAAACCGAAGAACCCCAAATTGAAGTTGTCCTTCAATAATAAAAAAAAAACCATGAGCTTCATGAGAACAAATCTCGAACTACAATATTTTTTTGTGTTTACTTCGAACGCGGCCGCACCGAACTGACCGCAACGCTATTTCTTTGTTCGGCAACCAGAACCCTTATCCCGTTTTCTTCTTTATTTGGTACATGGACGTTTTCGAAGTATTCAGGTCATGTGTATGCTTTCTGAAGATTTGGGAATTCAAAGCCAATGTCCAGTTTCCTTTTAAATTAGGCCAATGTCCTTTGTGCAATTCATGTGTAATTAGGAATATCATTGCATGCGTCTCTATGCGTTTCTTTTTGCAGTAAGGCATTGTGTATGAGATGATTTAGAAGAATACCATTTATCTCTCTCTTTGCACATTTCGTGTATTTACCTTCAGATCTATTATGTGTGCACACAGCCTTTTTTTATATGCCCAGCGACCCGGTATTTCACACTGCCAAAAAGCGAACAAGAAAGCACGTTTCCGCAGACTCAACAGCTGGCATAGTATCTAATATCATCCTCTCGTGTCGGTCTCAAGCGGTTATGTGAACTTTATACAGTTAAATTTATTGATGATAATAAAGATTTTTTTTTTTTTTTTTTTATTTACTGACTGAAAATTTGATAACATAAATAAAGGACTAATCACCTTAAAGATATATATTATGAGTAAATGCACCCCCAAATTATCTAATTTATACTCTGCGAACCTTTTTGATGTTTTATCCTCAATAGACATGTATAACTGATTCGGGAGAGCCTTGAACAAATTTTTGATTTTGAAGATGATTTAACTATGTGTTCTTGAAACATATTTAATTTCTCAAACATAAAGAAGTCTGTTATTGCCTTTTTTATGTGATGAACAACGATGTTATGTTCTGTGGGCTGGACAAAAACAAAGTACACAGGGGCGCGTGGCAGAACTATGACGATTGCACATGCAGGTTGTCAGGAAGTGACCAATTAAGTAGCTGCAATGTCGAGTAAATACCACTTTGTTGTATAGGTTTGTTCTATTTAACAAAAAAATCACCAATTAGCAGCGGTGATGTTTATTTTAAATTTGAATTGGCCGGAATCTTGCCAAGAACAAACCTTGAACACCAAGCTATGCCAAAAATGTTCACTTGGGTGCGCGCTATTTTAGGCCAGAATCTATCTGAGTACGAAGGTGCATATAGATTAGAGTGAACAATTTGATTACTCTTTTATGCATGATTATTCGGCTGCATCACGGTGCTGAGTCTAAACAATGTTGGTCAGGAAAACGAGACTTGTGATTGCCGCTCACTGTTGTCCTAAAACGTTCATGACATTTCGAAAATATTATTGCTTTTAGATCAGTTGCGTCGTCATCATATGCATTGTAGAACGTATTTCGTCAATTAGCTTCCAAGATATATATGGTGAGGAGGTGCCCATTTCATCCGTTCAAAAGTATGGCTAGGATTCAATTTTTATTACTGCGACGCAAAGTTGTACCTATCACGGTTTTTTTTAGACGACCCACCAGACTGTGATAACCTTTCGATTCAGGTCAGCTATATGCAACTGAGGGAAACAATTAGATTTTGAGTCATATGAACACTATGTTTTGTACATTAATCTAGCTTTTATTTTACCATTTCCTCGAAATTAAATAATGCAATTTCTTATTTTTGGTGCCCGAAAAAAAAAAAAAAGTGGATTGTACGAATGATACAAAGCTATAAAGTTACTGGTTTCATGGTTGAAATATTGCCTATCGCCAAAACAATGCGGAAAATATATTCTCAATTTAGCAGTTCAAACCGGTTTGAACCATTATTCTGAACCGAAATCTGTAAACCCGAACCCAAACCAAACCAATAAAAATTTTGGTTCGACGCTCTGCTGCTGATGCTCAAACCTTCATCACACCTGTTTTCATGCACGAATACAACAATACAACGTTGCCCAATTTGCCTAATTCGTTTACGGTGTTGCGAAGTAAGAAGAGCCTCCGCTGTGCTTTCATAAGCTGCTCACAGATACAAGTTGCCCTGGTCAGGTGACAGCCTCGCATTTGCTTCAGGCTTCCTTTAAGTACCCATGAAAACAATCGAGTTGCATGGCCTTACCTGATGTATGACTAAAGTGGCGTTAGAAGAAACCGCTCAATAACGGTACTTCGCGCTTTACAACTTGTCATTATCGAGAAGCGGTAAGATGGGTCACGTGTCAGTTGTGATAAGTGGTTTTACGAAGACGTCAAGCGCAAAGGGATGAACTGATGTAAGTGTCACAAGCTGTATTTGTGTTCGTTTCTTGCAATCACTACGAATACATCAAAACTGCGGTTTGGTTTATTAGACCGAAGGCCAGTTAACGGACAATATGTTTGTCACTAAATAAGTAAAAAACTAAGTTTACTACAAGTACTAATTGTTTCCAACAGCTGCTCTAGGTGGCCCCTAAGTATGTAGTTCCTTTAGATGCCAAGACAGCGTTGAAGAAATAAAAGATCACGCAGTCGCTCGCTTGGTAGCATTAGTAACGCCCTCTGAAACCACTTCACTGGCGCTCAAGAGGTATCTACGTATCTCCTTAAAGGCGGAGAAGTGACAGTTAAAAGCTCGAGGTCCAAAAAGAGGCAACGGCTGTGATTCGCCGGGTCTCTCCGCAAGTTCCTTTTAGCTTTTCAAGGCGTTTGAGAAACAATTTGTTTATATTTCTGCTTACCGTACTGTGCAGTCTTTCTGATGTCCATTCTGAGATTGCGGGACGCACGAAAAGCGTATCAAAAATCAGGGATGATCAATAAAACTTGCGAGCTAGGATCACTCGGGAACCAGCACATCACACAAGCGCCATGACGGATCCTCGGATGTGGCTGGAGCGCACGGCGCCCCATCATGCGGCGGTTTGTTGAAAGACTAGAACGAGCAAATACACGTCAGAATTTTTGCTATTTGTCAAAAAAAAAAAAAATGCTATAAAAAGCATCTTTTCCTTGCAAAGGAATTATCAAAACATGATCTCTGAACATACGCTTTATATCAATATTCCTTTACTTCAAATGTCGCCGCGGTTTAGAGGTTTCGGTTTCTGAAATTCTCCAACAAGCAAACGACTCAGACAGACGACGCCCATTGTGCTTTTGAAAAGAATGAGTCTTCATTTTGTGATTTATATTAAAATTAAATTAAATCAGTAACAACTCCCTTGTTAATAGTTTTAAGTTAAATTTCCAGGGGGAAAAATGAGACTGAAAGGGGACGTTATGCTATGGTTGCGTTCAGGGCCGTAACCAGGGGGGGGGGGGGGGGGGGGGTTAGGGGGTTCTGACCTTTCCCCCCCCCCCCCCCCCCCCCGAAATTGTTTTCTGGGTACGGCCCTGGTCGGTACACTGGCAGCCAGCCGATTTTAATCTCCACCTCTGCGCACGCGCAGTGGCGCCGGTCGGCTACCGGGTACCAAACCGGGACCGGTTCTCCGGTTTGCTGTAACTCTCCATTATATGCCACCGATGCACATGATTCATACGCGAAAACAAGACAATAGACACTTTCAAAATGGCCGCCGTTGTCCCCGAACCCCCCCCCCCCCCCCCCCCCCCCCGAAATTTTTTTCTGGGTACGGCCCTAGTTGCGTTCATGTTAAACGTATTATTTATTGTTGTAAGTTAGGATCAACGTTTGGCTGTGATTTATTGTCTTCTGATATCGTCGAGTTTGATGGTGCAAAAGATATCCAACAGTACATAACACTTTTAAAGCTATAGGTGCACGTGCGCTTGGCCCTCTCGAGCGTTCATCAAATCTGAAATTACTACAAGCACAGCAGACGTACTCGACTGATCCGAACCTCGAGTCAAAGCAAAATGGCAGAAGGTAAATAATACATCACATCATTAACTCGCAAGACAAGTAGGGTCCATAGAGAAGGCTGATCATCAAAGGCCGCAATATCTGTAATAAAAAAAAAAAAAAAAAAGCCTTCAAAGTGGCTTTTTACTTTAAACAGCAGCAAGGCGTTTCACTTGGGCAAGCGCTCGCGTTGCTGTGATTCCGACAAGCCGTGAAGCACGCATCTTTCGAATGGGTACAAAACACTTCTTCCTACTGTGTCACGTAAAGGTTATCTACGTTTTTTTCAGCACCACAACCACCCACTGCCAAACAAGAAGCAGCACCAGCAGAGAAACCGACCGAAGGAAATATTCTTAAGCATTACTCAGAAATATTCGC